AGCGCAGAGTTTACATGGGGTGCTTTCGAAGAAGGTTAAGCCGCTGGTAGTTTTAAGCTTTAAGTTTGGAACATGCAGCAATGCTTAATCCGGTGATGTTCGAGGTCTAAGGAAAGCATCGTCATCTTGACCAATTCTGTCCAGAAAAGGTGGTCGGTTGTTAATTACTTTCATGTAGCGTTTATTTTTTACCTTTGCTCGTGCTGTTCTCAATAAATACTTGCTGGCTTGTCAATCAGGAGGCACGTCCCACATAAGGCTAGATGAGTCGTCAATTGCCGGACGAAAAAAAAACGGTACATTTTTATGTTATAAAATTCTCCAGTTGACATTGTTTGTTGAATACTACAATAATAAAATACATCAGTGATATTGGCCGCAGTATTTGGTAACTTGATGTGCTCTAGAAGCTCATAGAAATGTACTGTTTGTAGTCAAGATTAGCTATCGGAAGAAAAAACTGCCTTTCGCTTTTTTCTAAAAATTTCATTGAAAAAAATGCGTCTGGTAGTACTTGACCAATTATAAAAAAGTTGATAAAGGTATTAATTAAGTAAGACCAACACGAGTTCCCATGACATCGTCCAAGAACTAGACATCTTGCAAACAATTTTTGACTATCTGAAGAAAGCTGACTTGTGTTTGGGTGCCACACAGATTCACACAAAAAATTTGCCCGATTGCATCTTGATCTGGGAAACTTAATGGAATCGACACGAACTCGAGCCACCTTTAGAGTAGTTGATCACGAATGCAATACAATAACATACGAAAAAGATTACTTCACAATCTGTGGCAAAACCCAGGCTGACATTGAAGAAAGTGATGCCATATGTTTGGTGGTATTGGAGAGAAATCGTGAGTTGCTGCCATCATGCACTATGCTTTATTCGGACTTCTGCTGTCCGACTAAATTCGACCAGAACTAGTAAACAAAAGAACTTGAAGGGAAATTTAGATATATCCGCCGTATATCCAGTGTCTTGCACCATTAACCTAATATACGTCTCTGTCTCTACAGGACCCCCCTCCCCCCAATCAATGTTAATTTAATTTCAATGTAGGGATGCAAAAATCACCTGATATAATTTTTTGCCCAAAAAGACGTATTGTAGCTATGGGATTTTGGTATTATCAAGAAAATGGCACAGTGTCATTGATCAAAATAGCTCATTCTTAGCGTAATTCATACTGTTGCAAATTATAGGAAAAAAAATATTTGCACAAATTTAACCTTAAAAATCGTCGATATTTTTTCACGCACACAATGTCATAGAAATGAGTAACAAGGTTTTACTGTACTGTTACTTTTGTTCATGGAAGGCCAAATGGCCTGAGAAAAAGATGTGCAATCGAACCACGTGAAACAGCGGGAAGTGATATAATATGTCCGCGTGAAACGATGGTTAACTAAACTCAGAGCATAATGTTATTTACATTGTTCTAGGTGTTCCTTAAGTCAGTTAAGCAACAATGACTCCTGTGCATAGCCTACGATCAGTTCTGTACCACATTTCGTATGAGATGAGTTTTCATATTATATTCAGTATTATAAACTGTTCTGTAGATCTATGCGTACCTTTTTTTTGAAATTGAAGTGTTCCCTTATTTCTGGTCACTGATTATAATCAAAGCAGTGTTTTTAATTAGGTGGAACTGTAATATGTATATTCTGATAGTAATAACACAGTCGTTTTAAAAATGAAAGGGTATTTGAATTAAGTTGAAATATCTCCTTGGAATTAATGACCACATTAGGCTACGTGTAACCTTTTTTTTTCTATTTGATTATATGTAGTGCGTCTTAATTGCAACCGCTATGCCCATGTTAATGATGAATCACATGACAGCCAGCAGCTGCTGCCTCTCTCGATGTATATAAATTGTCGACTTCAGATGTGTAATTACTCTTTTCGTAATAGGTCTGATTTCGGCAACGACTTGATGGCAACTTTAAACTCGGGAATAAAGCAGCGTTTTTTGCAAATGACTGTTGGGACTGTATGACCAATAGAACGTGATTCCTATTTAGTCAAAGTGGAATGCAACAGAGAGCTTAACTTTAACATTAATGATTGCATTGTGTGGATTCACGTTCCTTGTAACCCTTAATGTCGAATCCGTTCTAGTCATAAAAACCTATAATTTTACTAGCTTTCTGTTTAGTTGGCGTTTGTGTAGCTCAGCGTACAATCGTAACAATTATGTCGTTATTGGGCGCGTAGAAAGTTGTATTATCTCTATGCATTGTATTGTACATTCGCGAGAGCCACAGAGAAAAAATTCTCGAACGTGACTTCTTAGTCGGAAAGTACGGAACAGCTTCGGGAAAAACTAACGCCGTGAAGCAGCACAAAAATAAAGCTCAAAGTGAGCAGGCAAACAATAGCAGAGGCTGGCAAAAATATAAGGAAAACAATCACACCTGTGACACGTGTAGCCGAACAAAGCCACTAACGCATGATATAGAAGATTCACCTCGTCAATAAAAAAATGCTTACTATTCGAAAGCAGGAGGATGTGATTAGAGACTACGCAGACAAGACTAATCTCCCTCCCAAATTAAGCATGAATATGGTGCTGCTGGTCAAAGATATTCTGACAATGTAACTGTTCATTCGGTGTACAATACTCACAAAAATTCTAGCCGTGTCTGACGTTTAGCTGTTTTCTGGAGTCGCTTGTGTCAGTTAAATGTTAAATTTTTCATAAAAATTGAAAAATTATAAAGTGATTTTGATATAATATATTGCAACATAATTGATGAAAATTTCGCATTTGAAAGCTCATTAAAGAATTAGCATAAATAAGTAAAGCATGAGTTAAGTACCACGTTTACCCATGCAAAAACAAGAACGCATTTGAACGAAAATCTCCAAAGCACTGTTGAAACAGTTCAAGCTAAATAAGTAGGTTTTGGTAACGACTGATGACTGCTGATAAAACTAAGGTACAGCACAGTCGAGAAGGTGAACTTCAAATGATTAATTGACTCTGATCGGCTAATAGAATTGTATTAATCAAAACAAGAAAATAATGGCAAATTACGCATAATTACCTGATGAGCTCAGAACAGAAATTGCTAAAAAATGATTGCCTTGGCAAAACAATAGGTTCACCAGCGACGTGCATTAGAATTGTAGTGCCCTTCGTTGATCATTATTTACAAAAAGAGACTGAGATTAAACAAAAATGTTTATCATGAAGTTAGCGGGATGTGGAAAAAGGTTATAGAAGCAATGTCTGGCGACTACGATCAATGACAGGAAGCTGCTAATTGAACTCCTGATTTTTTGCCACCGGGATTTTTGTGATCAAGTATTGTCATGCAGTGCAAATGGTTTACCTCTGTTCATTAATCTTAACTGGTTAATGCAAGCTTTTTATCACATCGTTAATTGCGTACGGCTCACTTTAGCCATGATCGATGAACCAGGACTCATGAAGCCACAGTGGATAACACCTCCAATTTTTTAAGCTAAGTAGATGCAGTAAAATTGGGCGCTAGCACTGTGTAATGACTCGGCTTACACCACATACCTTCGCTTTTTGTTATTCATCACCACAGAAGGTCTTTCACTCATTTTCGAGTTTAAGATTTTCTTCAAAAAAAAAACCGACGGCCGACAGTGTTTCCAGTTCAAACTTCCGCTGGGTAAAAGGTCCATCTTCGTAGTTCCAAATAACTCATATTTGTAAACAGCTCAGGTTTTCCAGTTCTTCATTATTTACTACAACTCGTCTGCTGAAAGCTCGAGTGACGATAATCGAGCCAGCAGTGTCAGGTTTTTAAAAGTAGAAGGGCATTTCAAATAAAAAAATTGTTACAAAATATCGAAGCGTTATAAAAATGATATTGGAATATGAAATCAATGTTTGTCACATTTTATACTGAACAACCTTACATTATAGAAAACATATGTACACAGAAATTAACTGTTTAATTGAAGCGAATAATTGTCTATTCCTTCCACTGAAAAATCGTCAACCAGGAAGTTAAGTATCACAGGGTTTGCTCAATGAGAGAAACTCATCAATAGCACAAACGAACAAAAGCCTATAACCGGTTACTCTAAGGCTCAAGCAAAAATCTTGCAGTTAATCAATGAAAAGTGGCCCTACTAATGATGAACGCAGGCGAATTAAGCCGAAAAAAGCACCTTTTCGAACGAAGTAAACGCTAGAATTTTTACGTGTATAATGCTGTATGCACGAGGGAAGAAATCCCTATACTAACCTATAGCAAGAATCATATTCTTGCAAGCACAAGCTAGCCTATCAGGAAAAAAAACTTTTCATCGTAACGAAAAAGCTTATTTCAGAGCCTTCGGTAAACGAAGTTTTTTCGCTTCGTTCATAGTATTTTTCCAATACTGTTCCTTTTTTTAACCATAAACTAGAAAAAAAAAACATTACAATTGCTATTTTTACCATAAAAATAATAACATAATTTTCGCTAATCAATCATACACTTCTCATCAAATAGTGGACACAGGCTCGCTACATTCTGATTCATTCGCTGACTGCTTTGTGCTATTGTATACTATAGTGCGAAAGTAACAAATCACGATTAAATGTTTCTCGCGACGACTGACACAAATTTGAGTTGTAAGTATACCTGTACGCGATAATTATGACAATTTTTTAACACGTTAACTAGTAGTATCCACTATAAAGTGCGATGAGTCACGTGGAGTGAAAATCAATGGTTTTTGTTTTTTACTGCACACGTTGTGACGTATAGCTGTTTTTAATATAATGTTTATGAAACATTTATTCGAATACAAATTTAAGTTTCAAGATCTTTGCTGAGTTGTGGCACAAATGACTTAAAAAAACGATAAGAAGGCAAGCACACCTTGTATAATAACACGCCGTACTAATAAATGCACGTGAAAAAATATATATATATACATTTTGAACAATATATTTATTTAGATGTACTAAACTCTCGACGGCGCTCTTATTTTAATGAGTTAATGAATATTTTGATGCCTAAATAATTTTATGTAGCTTTATTATATATTTATATTATATAGGGAAAGTCCATAAGTCGCGGTTTCGTCGGGTTTAATACATAGTAGCTTTTTACAAGGGACCCTATGGAGCTCAAATCTGAAATTGTACAGCAAACATACGATCAATATTATTTAGCAGGTTGTTACAGTCACCCATGTACCATAGAAGTGATGACTGAGTTTAAAGTTGATAAAAAGAACTTTGCTGTTTAAGAAGCAAATGCCTCTCTTCTTACCGTTAAGCGCACTGTAGGCAACTTGAGGGCTAACCCGTCATCATCTACAAGAAAATGTATATAGGTTTTAAATACTTATACTTTAATAGATAAAATTAAATCGCACATACATCGTCGATATCCTCGTCTCCTGAAACGTCGTCAAACTCAATGTTGTCGTCTTCTTCTTCTTCGCCAAACGCTGCTGTCTCGTTGATCTTCGCATGTTCCGGAAGCTCTCCGTACGCCTTTAGGTTTCGAGCTTCATCGGGGTTGTATTTTAGGATTACATCTGCTTTGGCGTCCTGGTAATCTCGCAAACCAACTAATATGATGTCACCCTGATTGATCCACACCTTTTTGCGTAACTTCCCTGAAATATAAAAAACGTAGTAGAAGGTAGTATTAATACTTAATTGGCTAAAGAAATGCGCCACGATGAAACGAATACGACATTCAATAAAAGTATGCTTTTTACAAACGGCGATAGTTTGTACGTGACCACTTTATAGACAAGCAAGGTACACTCTACTTACAAAAAAAAATTCAAAGATTTGATACTATACCTCGGATGTGACAAAGACGCTTAGTACCGTCGAAGCACAATGCCTCTAATCGACCATTGCCTAGCATCTTCACTACCTGCGCATACTCTGAAGTAGTCATTCGAAAACAACTTTGATGAGTAACGCTAACGAGACAGATTACATTACTTCTTCAATACTACTTCAAATTGATGTATGTATTGTGAAATTTCATTGCACTGAGAAAAGGTAAATAAAATTAATTGCCAATGAGTTTTATATAACTGAGGAAGCATGTTATAGCTTTCTTTTATGACAAACTCTAATTCATAAACCTTGTCCATCCTCCTTGAAAACCAACTCGCGTTTTTCTGCTTCGTTCTCATTCTTTCCTCTCCGTCTGTTTTTTCCTCCCTTTCCTGGAAACTCACGACATTCATTATCATTTTTTATTCGCAAAATTTCCTTTTTTCTATCATGGCAACCAGTAATACGTCACACTGAAAATTGCCGAAGATTAAACTGTCGACACAGTACGAAAAAAGAACGTCAATATTAGCGTTCATTAGGAGCATGTATTACAGCGTAAGCAGCATGAAGAAACTCTATTCTTTATTTTATTTTATTTTTTGTGTACCATATTTACCTTTTACTTATATATTTTTACAGCTTGCCATATGTATTTTTAAATCGAGACATGTAACCTATTCGATAACTTATTGAATTTATCGAGTAGGTTACATGTCTCGATCAAGGACTTAGTCAACCTTAAATAGGCACTAATATATAAAGAGCACAGAATGAAGTCGTACAGAAGCTTTATTGTGTTTATTGACAACAAAGAAAAATATATATTTTTGTTTGATTGACGAATTTACCTCTAAGTAAAAACCTGTCTGAAAAAGATAGCTACTAATATTTTCTTTTCCCTATTCTACTTTGCTTAGCGAAACGTACAAATTTCTATCATTAAAATCAAGTATTGTCGAATTAACCTCGTATCTCGTAAAACTTCTATGATCTTGCTCGTCATGACAGACTGGCAATATTGCCGATGCTAAAGTTGCGATCGGTCGGGATAAAGATGTTCATACGTCGGGTTGCGGCATTTTTTAATAACACCTTTTAAGAGAAATGGAAGGTGTTGATCTACACGATGTTACACAGCAAGCTTTCTCACTAGCAAAATGCTTGCCACTTAAGACAAATAAGAGGTATAAGGGCATTTGTGAGCGCACTGAGAAGCCCATATGTGGACGTTATCCTCACAATATGATTTTATAGTATGTCGGGTCTGTATGTGGCTCCTCGTATGTCACTATTCGGCATGGTGCTGGACGTTCCGCGTTCGGTAAGGGAAGATGATGAAACCACTGTGAGTATGAAGATAACACTATGAACTCACCCTTATTCTTCGGCATGTTAGTTGATCAGGCGTATTGTATTGGCGGCAACACAGCACGATTTGCACCGTTTTTCGTTGAATTTCACTAAAAAACGACCACTAATGGAACCCCCCTCCGATGGAAAGAAACTGGTCTGCAGAAAGAATACGCAGCTCTAGATCAAAATATGGAGTCGGCATTTACCATGCTGTACGAACGCGGAGTGATACATAGCTACTTAATGTTGATGCTGTTCTTGCTGTCATAACGACTGCGTGACAGACTAATATACGCGAGGCCTTCCCTCAGGTCTTCATTTCGTTTTATACATTCTTGATTTGCAGGTATACGGAGGCAACTAATTTCATTAATAATTGAACCATTATTACGACAAATTGCAGTAATACGTTAAACTATATTAAAACACCGAAACCAACCACTTTTACTGCTATGGCATAATCTTACATCGATGCTAAGATAAACTAATGTAGAGCTATTTTTTTTTTAGACTCCTCAATCTCTAGTGAAACTTGTAGGCAAAATAATAACATAAGCAAACGTTAGAACATAAAAACCGGATTCTATGTAATCTTATATTTTCAATCCTTATATTTATCCCGTTAAATGAGTAAGATTTTGTATTATATGCCGGTCGTCTCGAAAACAACCTTGACGATATTTGTCATGTCTCATGTATCGGCTTCCTCGACACAAATTTAATGAGTAAAACAGAAGTTGTGACATAGCAGCCTTCACCCTGCAGTAGAACCATCGCACAGCGATGTGTTAAAATGTTGCATTAATTATGTACGGCATTTTGAATGACTTAGATTACAGAAAAAGGCACCCCATAAATGCCGAAGATTACAAATCGTACCGCGTAACGGTGTAGGTCCGAAGAGCCCTGCTCCCCAGCCTCGCACCCATCTGTCAAAGTCTCTACGAATTTTTTAATCTATTTGTAACAGACCGTGACATTACATCGTTAAAGCAGAATGAAAGGGCTCAGGCACCATACGACATATCAGAAGAAAATCCACTATTTTAAGAAGTTAAGGATTGTCACAACATTAAACTAGAGCGGAAGAAACAGCTAGCTTAATCTACTAATACTGTTAGTTCTCCTTTGTGAGATCAAATACAGTAGAGTAAAAAAAAATTCTACTAGAAACAAAAACTACAGGAAAGAAGAAAAATTTGTCATTATTTTGTTTTAACAGCAGCGACAACAACAATGTGAGTTGTTCTAAATAGTGTGAGTACTTAAGGACATGTTAGAGCAAGATGAAGGATAAGGAACTAGCTTTCGGCCTCGTGGCACATTGCGAATGTTAATGGACAGCATTACCGACCACACTTAATGCCGAACCGCTTACATGCATTGGCTATACATAGCCTGTGCCGATTTAAATAAAATTATAAACAATATAGAGTATACAAAGGTCGCGTTCATGTTTAAGAATGGGCCGAATGAATTCCGCAGTGTAACAGGTTTACTGGTAAAATGATAAAACAGCATAAGAGCAATGAAAATAGGACAGACGAACGGATTAACGTAACGAAACGACAGAACAATTGCAAGGAGTTAGGTTCAGAATCCAAGCTGAGAGCGAGCAGGTATGAATGCTGTGAGTTAGGTGGGAAGAGCGGTATAGCGGCGCTGGGCGTAAGCGTTCAGTATGCTTTTGTAGTACTCATTATCGTGGGTGAAGCCAAGAATTATAAAAGCATAGACTTTGAATATTCATGCAAGCGAAGGCAGATGGACGTAAAAGCTGTTCGTGATCACACAAGACGAGTGGCGGCGGGGGATCGGTGCTGATAAATATTTGAATCAGGCCTGTTCTGCCTTTTCATAGAATACAATACGATTCTTGTTCAGTATTTAAATTCGTAATTGTGGAGGTGAAAGCTATTTTTTTTTCTCTAGTTTAGGGTAACAATTTTGAAATATAGATTCTATTTTTCTGGCCCTGACTGTAATAATAATAGCAATAATGAGCGTTATTCATCTTTGTTCTCTGTTTTATCTGCGAAAACGCAATTTAACGTATTTCTACTTACCGATCTTCAACACATGCATACATCTTTCTAAATCATGTTAGAGTGTTTGTATCGCATCACTCTAAATATTATGCATAATACGAATAGTGATGAACACATTTTATTTCACAACAGTATCCCCAAATCGGCTTTTACCCATTCATATAAACCAATCATAGTTTGACATAGAAGCTTATGTTTGTTACAAAGGTCTGAAACCTCTAAAATTTTAGTTTTCCTTTTATTTTTACAGTTCTAGAAGTACAATTGGTAAAAGATGCGCTCGTCTATATTTGATATTTATATATTTTACAGCGTCTCTTAATAAAATTTGACAGAATCAAAATAAAGCAAAAGAAATTCCTGTAAACCCATAGTTTCGCAAAAACTGTTCTTCAAACAATTTAAACAATTTTTTTGATATTAAGGAATTAATATTTTCATTAAGTAATATGTAATTGGAAGTGAATGCAACTCAGCAATATAAATTTTTACGTATGCATCTTTGTTTACAAAAAGTAGGCTTTTATAGAGAGGAAGTCTTTAATGTAGTAAAGCATTTATTATTGACATTGTAACCAATTTGGAGTTAATTAGCCGCGAGCCAAGTAGAGTTTACTATTACAAAAACGTTTTCAGTTTATTAGTACACTCTTATATTATAAACAAACATACCTCTGCGTGTGTCTAACATCTCGTTTTCAATGCCAAACGACTCAGCACTGCGTATTCAAGGTACGACATAAACAGATGACCTATTATAGGTGTCCACACTAGTTACTATTCCGTTAGAGTAAAATACCGACAGACACTTCTTAGATTAGTAAATGATAGTTCCGTTTAACAAATACACGGATTATTATTATTAGTACACGGCTAATGAAGTTATCTTTCAACATGACACCTTAGCTTTCTAGTAAATCAAAAAAATTTATTTTCTACTGAGTTCTCATCAGGTAATAAGAGTGCCGAGCTGCTTTCTGAGATCGGCCTACTTTTCGTTTTCTTGTTTTTATAATAAAATATTTTCAGTTTCTAGCTATATATTAAAAAAATGCAGCAACTGGCGGTAGCAAAAAGCTGCTTCAATACCATTTTCGATATTGGATCACACAATTTATCTTCATCGCGTTACACATACTAGTAAATAGTTTTAATAACACATTTGTAGAATTACTATATTACATTCATTAGCTCAGCAAACATCCCTTTCCTGTCCTACCGTAACAATTACAAACTGAAGGTATTCTCAACAGTTGAACTAACCTTCACAAAGCAAGAACATCGCACTTATAGAAGCAGCAGTATCGACCAATTAACGTTTACGAATCGCGATTTCGTGTGTCAACCTTTTTCAAAAGGTTTTGCGCCAAAAGTAGATTTCGTTATCACCATCATCTTCTTTTGCTACCCTTAGCCTTTCCCTTGGACTTGCCTTTGAGCCTGTTGACTTTCGCCATTTTAATTGCAGCTTTTTTATTGCCAAGCCTTTTTGAACTCCTCGTGCCTCGCTTTCGCTCCTTTTTAGCTCGAATCTCTTGCTGGACATCTTTCTTCATTTGCTTTTCTACCACGCGGGCGTAGTTCAGCTTTGGTCGCTTATGGTCTAGCTCACCGAGAATTTTCAAAGCTCGATCTTTTTCAGTTGCTATCGACCCTATATTATCCTCGAAATGTCGCTTCTTTCCTTTAATCTTTGCCTCCTTCTCAAGTGCAAGTTTTCTGTCGAATTTTCCCATGGATGCCGTGCTGCTCTTAGCTACAGCAGCAGCTTTGGATGCCAACGAAGGCGTAAGTTTCTGCGTCGGCATTACAGATGAGATGGCCATCTTGTCGATCTGAAATGTACGAATAGAGTTTAAAATAGTGCATTTTTCTACCGTTTTTCGTTGCTAAGTTAATGCAAGCAGCTAGGCCAACTGGTATAGTGTTTACGATCCTTATCCCATGTTATACTAAATTCATCTTTAATTTTAGTGACGCGTTCCAGAGGCACTTTTGCTTAAAGCGAAAATCTCACTTGCGTTAGAATCTGGCTGATTGCGCCCACAAAATGGAATAAACTAAATAAGATATGTTTAAAAAACATAGAGCCAAAAGAATTGCGAAATTCGTAATTACCTTGTGCGCTCTCTGGATATTTCGAAGCCTCTGGAGTTCGTTCTTCGCTACCCGTTCCCTCTTCTTGGCCTTCAAAACCTGGAATTGGTCTTCCATAGGATCTGGAGAAAGCGATAATGTAGATAAGTACACGAGAAAGTACGTGAAGCATTAAAAATAACTTTTTCAGGTGTAGTTATCGTCCTATCGGATATACTTGCCTATATGTAACTGTAACTTAATAAAAAGCGGGAAGATCTTCACATCAAATACTATACCTATCTCTTTTATTTTTATACGTCATATTTAGATAATCATGCTTCTATGTGGATTTCATAATCTGACTAAACCGTGACATAAACACCCCCTTCTGTAAATAAAACTGTCGTTCACTTTGATGCGCACAGGACCGAAATTGTATGTAACGCGATACAAGTGTACGCAGTTTGGAAATTGGGGAAATAAACAAAAAATTAAGACTTTCTTGCAAAGAACGAAAGGAAACATGAGAAATACCTCATTTTGCACACATGCGAATGTGATTATACAATACCATGTGTATCGTCAAATATATAGTTGGTTGTAGATATGCCTACGCTATGTAAGGGGAGGGCAGATATATTTATATTTGCCCTTATCTTGCAACCGGATGGGAAAATATGGTAAATACAATTAAAATTGTAGCACAGTCCTGACGTCGTGAAAACCGTGCAATATTAGTAACATTAATAGAAGTATAACTACATAATACAAATATAAGTTAGCCTAATTTCTGCTCAAATGTATTCTTCACTTGTGTTAGCTATAATGTTGGATTACCGTGGTGAAAAGATTTATTCAACTATGATACGCCAGATCAAATCTTGCAAAGCATAAAAAAGGTCATTTACCTGCATTGTCCGGAACCGGGAGGACCCAGACATCCTTTTCGGAATTCACCCTCCGGTAGCCAAAGCGTGGCTTCCATTCCGCCATTGTTTCATCCCAAACGAGTTTCTCCTTTTTCTGTGTTCTTAAACCCTTCTTACGACGGAATTCTTCCCATTTGGTCAAAGGTTTGGGCTTCGGGCACTATAGACAGACCATTCGTATATGTTAATGTGTAGTAGTTAATGTGCTCGTATCTGTCTAACGCGTAGCGGGCAAGCATGAAAGTATGTCCAAAGGAACGGGTGCTTTGGAATGCTACTTCAGTCAAGCTCTAATCCTGCGCGTACACGTCACATGCAAATGAATAGACACGTTTTCATAGAACATTCAAATTGTAAAAGCTGATTAGGACATAGTCCTAGTACACGATGATTTAAGTAACCGTTTGCTATATATAAATTGGGACGTGTGCATATAACTCAAGTGAATCGCACCCCATAGACCTTTTGATTTTACGAATTTCAAAACCGTTTCAAGCTAAAGGTAAGCTTCCTTCATATATGAGAAATTCATTAAGCATCAGAAACAAGCTTAACGATACTCACTGGTTTTTCTCGAGGTAGTCGCGTTACAGGTGCAGGTAGTTTTATGACTACGGTGTCTTCACGAACTTCCGTGGGAATTGTGAAGAGAGCGTTCATTAGTAACTGGACATTGTCTCGCGTTAAAGTGCGAACATAATCCTCAACATTTGACCTGAAGATGATATCAAATATAAAATTATTCATTGCGTATTTGGTTTCATGTATTAGATCTTTCCGTATGCTTCTCGGTGCTTATTTGGAGTTGTACATATCATTTGTCAAATGCTTTATTTTTTATCATTTTGATACAAATCTAGTACTTATCCTAAAATGTTTATATTAAGCAGGTAACGTTTTACTGAGATCCTTGATATTTCCTATAAGCACTAAATATAACAAGAGTGTAAATTACCTATTATAATATCCAACTAGCTAAAAAATCTACAATATTTTTCGAAGTGGACACTCATAAGGTAATGTTAACCATTTAAAAATATTACTTTGAGATGTGAGCAAGTCGTAATGACGGGAGATGTTTTTTCTTGGGACGTGGTTATGCCGACTGCGGTTGGATAATAAAGTTAAATACTGTATGAAGTACACCGAAAACTCGTATGGACAACAAAACGCTTCAGTCCGATTTACTAGAGCGGGGAACAAAAAGACGATTATTCTTCCAGAAAATCGAATTTTTCTCTTAACCAATTAAGGAGTATACACAAGCCTCATCAACAATTTGAAATATGGTTCTGTATGGGTTCTAAAACCGACCTTTCCGGATGAACTGATTTATATATTAGATAATAGCTGGTATTTAAAATGACTATTTTCGTTGCTAAATTTGCTGGTTGCTTTTTTGAAGTTCGGTAAGTGTTTAATTTCTAGATCGGTAATCGTGAGTCGATTCGATTCTTGGGTCATTCTTACGCCAAAAGTACATGTGCATTGACTGCTATTGGTGATCTAGTGGTGGCAAGCAAGGTGACATTGGCTTTTATAGGTGCTCCAAATCAAGAGTGAGGGCAAACGAAGTGATTCTGTGTATTCTCTTGCACATTGTGATCTGATTAGCTACTGTACGTCTATGATTTTGCTGCTGCGCCGCTCTGTACTGATAAGGTCACTGTATATATGTAAAAATCGGTTTTGAGCTAACAGGAAAAAACCGTTCTTGCATAGGTAATATGTGGTGGAGAAAGAAAACTTTATGGAGGATCGGGTAATAACAATGACGTGGTACATGCATGAATTAGTTTAATTGAATTGGCTCGACATCGAACTTTTCTGACGATACTCTGCCGATGTTTTTAGAGTTTTTTGGCTTTCCTTCATTTATGTCAAATTTGACTAGGTAGTTTGCTGCTTTCGGGGTACGTGAATATCTGGTACACTACTGGTTTTTTTCTATTAATGTGGTTAACGTGTTGGACACTGATTGAGCTGTACTCTGCTGGATCATTTACGGCATCTGTTTTGCGAGTTGTTACTATAGGAACCAACTTTCCGACTATGATATTTATCACATGCATTAGACAAGCGGATATTACACTTTTTACACAACTCAAGATGTGGGTTTACATTTTTTTTAGTTTGCAGCGAAACTTCAGATGGAGTTGAAAAAGGGCAAAGCTCTGGGTTCTGCGAAAAGCGTTGGTAAGTGTCCAGGTACAAGATTTAACGATTTTCGTGCCGGACGATCTTCGTGGCAACTATATAAAATCTAAATGCATTTAAAACCTTAATGATAATTTAGGTCCTGCCAGTGAAACTAATACGAAACTTTATTGATACGGCGTGCACTCTTCCACCCATCATAACTGTTTGCGAGATCTAGTTTTGCCCCTGAGCGCACGAAGACCTTACAGGGCTAACAAACTGTAGGTATATTTTCTAGAAAAAAAACTATTCTCTAGAAAGACTTTCACAGTATCTGATATGTTTGCGTAGGGCACGACAGTGGCAAGTGCGGGAGCCCTTGAATTCGACAAGATCGGCGCATGTCTTCAGACTAATTCGAAATGCGGCGTAGCTGGTGTGTACCGGAAGCATAGTATGCAAAGTTTGAAATTTGTTCGCGACCGACATTTCGTTGTAGAGTACATTCCATGACTTTGCAAACAATGTGCATTTAAATTGCTTTAGACATACCATAGTTTTGTGTCTTGTAATAGAATACTACCTTCGAAACAGCCCAAAATGCCACAAACCGGTACTCGATAATTTACGTAGGTGCGGGGGATGAGTGTCTCTAATCGAATATTAAATAGAACTGTTACTAAAGCCACTTCTATGGAGAATTAGTTCTCAAAGATATTTATGACAAGTTTGCCTGACGGTAAACCATTTCTGTCATTATGGCAATTAAAATAGATCGATGAAATTATGTTCATGTTGCGTATATAGCCGAAATAGCATAAAAGTTGTCTGAAAAAAGCTTAGTCATATGAACATACTTTAGTTTGTAATCCTCAATCGCATTGGGATCCACGACAAGGAGCTCTCCAAGATCCAGCTCACAATCGATTGGTTTGTTAACTTCTATGCTGCGAAGCGAATCGCCTCCGTCTACCGTTAGAGCGTCTGCACCAAGGATGTCTTCTACGCAATGTGCCATTTTCACTACTGGTAATCAAAGTTTTGCTGTTAATAATAGGGAAAAGCCAAACGATCTCAACACAAAAAAGTATATGTTCAAATTCAATACCAGTATCGACGCTAGTCACTGTACATCTGTTAATCCTATAATAAGCCTTACAGCCAGAGAAAGAACACTTCCCGGGTCATTAACAAAGCAACACGCAACTAGTTTCTCATTTCAAGAACTACGAACGTTGTTCAATAACGCGCTAAGAAAGCAGTCGCCGTCTGCGTTGTAATATTTTTGTCTGGTTCTTAACACAGAGCAACGAAATGAAGTGTGAGTTGGATTCTACCACCACGTGGGCTTGAACCGCCCCACCACCGCCTATGGGGGATCTAGTTGGCTGGTGAATACAATAATACCGGCAATGCAAAACATGCAAAATTTGGATCTCTATAATTTGAAACGAATTTTATCAGCTTGAAAATGCGCAGACAAATATTTTTGTTAGATCTTCTCGTTCCGTAGCAGTATTTAATGAATAGATTATGCAATTACACAACTACATAGAAAACGTATCTTCAAAATGTTGCACGCTCTTAATATTGCAGCACGATAATATTGCAAGACATTGGCATCTATTTTTAACATATCTGATCTTATAAACACATTATTTTGGTCGTACTGCTCTAAAAATTGGTTTATCCATCGGTTTCCAACGAAAGCGGCCAATGGTTTTGATCGCTAGACGATCTGAGTAATTATATGTTAAAATTTTTCAAGTAAATTTGCTTATTTTGAACTTCTATTATTTAATACAACTTAGGTGATTCTTATTTGCAAATACATTATAATAGCTACTACGTTTCAGAAAATATTTCCAAAAAGTATACCGAAGATAGTCATAAGTAGTTGATCTCGAAACACTGAGACTAAATGGCTGGGTGTGTGGTTTACTATTTGGCGCGTTTTGCTACAATCGATCGCCGAAAACAATGATGAGCTCGCTTTCGCCGTAATTTGTGGAAATTTAAATAGGTTATGACGTTTGGATTTAAAAGTGTATGCACACATGTTGTTGTGAAAAATATCTTTGCAAGAAAAAGAATCCTTAGTGGTCATCGTTGAGGCAATCTGAAGCAGTGATAATTAATTGCTGCAACGACACAATGCACGTCTGATAGTCAAAAATCAGGTTTCGAATAAATTCAGGGGTAGGCGATTGTACTTAGAGTGAATGAAACTCCATGTTTAACAATGCCGCCAGGTAATCGGCGCGCCCTTCGTTCGGTGGAAAATAAACTTAGTGATCCAGATATACACTATCTGAACACTGGAAGTAGACGGACAGGAGCGCCAGATGATTCAAATGATACAAAAAAGAAAACGCCAGTGCGAAGAAGTTATAGGAATAGTGTTAGTCGGCTTCAAAATCGTGAGTTCTTAATAAGTGTTATAAGTTCAATGAATTAGACACATGATTAGTTTAATGTTTAAATTCATCGAGGTTTGAATACAGGACCACGTTAAGCATTGTATTTATTTGCGAAGTGTTAATTTAAACCTCGAGTATATTTTTCTCTTCGTAGTGGACAGACGCACATCAAGATTTATGATACAACCACACGCTATTGAGTTTTGAAATTATCTTTCAGTGAAGTAAAATGCTCAAAAGTACTTTCTTCGCCTTAGCCTTCTTCCCATTAGATACGTCTTCCCATTTTGGTAATAATTAATTTTCCATCCATTTTATGCGACAGAGCCTATAGATACTCATGCTTTCACCTAACTTATTTCAAGCGAATTCAGATGAAAATTGACCATTATGAATTTGCAGATTCATTGAGCTGGGGTCGCAATACTATACATTTATTATTCACCTGTGCCTCACGGTCGGGTATTGCACGTATTGTGACGTCGGTAAGTCAACAAGGGCTCTTTTTAAAAACATATAGCATTTAATAGGGGCGATCAATGGGGCTCGTATTGTTTGGGAAATACCTATAAGCCTATCTATTTTGTTTCATCACTCCCTCTTGGTATCATTCAACGAAGTAAAGATTAGTTAGACTCCTGGACCTCACTGTATGACAACGTTAAGAACAGTCGCTTTTATTGAGTTGCTTGGCAGGAACTGGCTCATTCTGAATATGGGCCTGACACCTTAACTCTGGTTCGATATCATGCTTCACTTTTGTCAAGGCGGGCCTAATCTAATTCCATAACATCAATTCTTGTTAATTCTCCAAGGTATATAGACTGATCTGCAGATTATACTTGGTTGATGTAACCGGTTCTTTCGATAGGGTATCGACGATTCCGTTTGCTCAGTTAGGGTGTACGGGCTTGCCAATTCAACAGTACATTACAACAATAAGTAGAAGCTCGATTGAGAACCAACGACACAATGCTACTTCAGCTAAAAAAGATAGAACGCAACAAAGAATCATGGTGCGGTAAAGATTACCGTTATATTTTTAAAGCAGGAACGTCTTATGCATTTTAGACGGTATGGATGAGAAGGGTGATATTTAATGATTTTTGATTAGCTGAATGACATCGGCCTTGACAAGTGTGGGTTAAGGGGCAGATCTTTTTGTGAGGGTACACGTTTATTCTTGCCGATTTCATGACCACGGAATGCGATGAAGCATTAATATTTTTAATATTCATAAAGTGAAGCTCATATCTGAGTTGGTACAATACATACGTAATGGAAATATTGTGAAGCATCTATTTAATACATGATACGCTGACTTTTGCTTGCATGGTATTGAGTAATAGATCTTAGTAAATATATCAGCTTCCTGTTTACAGAGCACGCACGGCACACTGCGTTCATTGACAGTCCAGCATGTAACTTCGCGCGAACTGCTGACGGTGACAATTCAGAATTCGTGATTCCGTTGCCGCCTTCAGCGAAGTCGCGTCGTCAACTGAATTGTCGACTTCGGCACTCACCATCACCATTTATCGAGCCACCATCGTTTGAACTTCTGCTGGCACCTTCCAGTTTAGAACGCAGGAAAGGACCGAGAGAAAGCACTCCTGCTGACAGCATTAGGTATAATTTTAATACTACACTCCTTAGCATATGGCCGCATTCATTTACAAGCTAGCCGTATTACTAGTCTGACTATTAAGAATACAATAATGGTCAGAATCGTAATAATACTGACATATTATTTATAAATCTCCAGTATAGAGTGCACTGCTTTGGATTAACACTTAATAACAGTATTCGTATTTCCTATTCCAATAATTACTTTTAACGGGTAAGTACTCCTACCTTGCTGCAAGAAAACGTACACATATATTCCAAAAGCCATTCGACGTATCTATCGTAAATTCTTCCACTCTGTGTACGATTTCAGAGGAGATACTCTTCAATCTCTAACTCGACAAGGCTCATTTGATGCGGAGTCATCGCATCCAAATTCGACGTTGCCGACGGTGTCCTCGTCGTATGGGTTCGTTAACACAGTCGATCACGTTTTTCTCGATGACGAAGACGACAGTCTACCGCATGCGTACTCAACTTTCTTCGAAACATCTACCCTCGATAGCAATCGCGGTTGTAACTTACTCAAGCCGAAATTTATTGAACCAACAAACTTCTTCCCAGGAGATGATATTGATGAAGACGTTCCATGGATTGGTAAGAATCCGATGATCTCCTATTCGCTTTATGGAAGATACCATACAGCTATCAACGGCATGTTTTCATCTGTTCTGTGCGTTGTTATCAATGGCTGAAATGTCTGTGATCGAGAAAGCCGGGAATCATTTGCATCTTCACTCTTCAATCTATGTAAAATAGTTTAAATTCCAATAAATAGGAAATAACACACTAAGGGATTTTGTGAGACAGATTGTAGTTTGACGCAAATGTGTAAAAGACAGAACAGGGATTTAGAAATAGGAAGAACGTTTGTCCTAGAGTTACACGTACCAGCGTTCCAGATAGCTTTTCGGACCAATAGCTGTAATCGGACAAATAGGAAAAATAAGTGCAATATGTATGTGTAGAGCCACGTAGCATAGCTACCATATGCGACCTTGCAGTGTCGTGAAGACCGATGATTTTGCCTCATCTATTATGTATTCCGCATTGCATAGCTCGGCTTGTTCTCCAAAAGCATTTTTAATGTAATTAAGATCCTTCCAATTCTAGAAATAGAGATGTAGCTTGGTTCCTAGACGTATCCGACGGAACTAACCATTATTCTTTCTGCTTTATATGGATGTGCGGACACTATTTTTCCCTATCAATGACGATTCTTTGCAACATTTGTCAACTTTGTCATTGTGGCTACATGTTGTTTGGTGCCAAACGAAATCCTGAAAGGAAATTATAAGCCGTATGCTTAATTTGGGGGCATAAAAGTTTCTGATTTCTGAGTAAAGTCTAATGAACTGAGGTGCTCGTCGTTAACCAAATGACTACCGTTTATCTTGTAACTAAATTCACGGACTGTTACCGGCCGTCTTCTTTCGAAGAAGCTTTAAATCGGTCTTCATCGATCACAGATGGCCGATTGGGGTGGGGTGCAATCTCCAGCTTCGCGATATTATTCTCGAACTTCGCAAACCAGTCCTCTCAATTAGAAGCCTCGCTGTATGCACCACAAGTATTTCACACTGCTGGACAGTTGTTGGACCTTGGCAAAGAGGTAAAGCTTTAAAATAGTTTTTTTCAAGTAAAACCTCCATATACAGAAAGTGAACACGACGCAAAATTGCATTCGCTACACCACAAAATTACAACAGGTGAACAGAGTAGGGAAAACACTTTCAAAATACGTATAGAAGCAAACAAACATTGAAGAGGTAAAAAGGCAAATGGAACATCACAAACAGACCCAAACTACTCATGTTCCAAGCCTATATATGAAACACAAACAAAAAAGGAATTAACAACACAAGATCAGAATGTAGAAGACATATGAAACGCTTAAAAGAATGCCTAATAGAAATACAAATAATCGCTAATATATTATTGTGAAAAATGTATGTATTTATGATGAAGGCAAACAATGTATGCGATATCTACATTTATACAGTGTTGGCTTTAGGTTGGTGGATTAACCTTAACAGTACCATTTGCACTATTAGTGAAGTATTCTTCGGAAAGCAAATATTATTAATGCGCAATAAACACAAGCGACTTCAATTGAACTTGTCCATTTGATAGTAAGCTACTACATGAACTCTCATCGCAATCGATTAGGAGTTGTTTAATAGGCTAGCGAATCCATTCTATCAGGTTAATATCGGCAGCTGGTTAGTAGTTTAGGTAGATCTTTCACGATTCTTAAAGACAAAACTGGATTATGTCAAGTGCTTCTTTAGCTACGAGAGCTATATCTTCGAGCACCACGTGGGTCTGAGTAGCACAAGACTATTTCAAAGTGAGACCAACTTCTTTGACAATGAAGCAAAGGACTACTGCAACACATGTGGAATTTGCCACCATTGCACCTGATTAATAAATGAATTAAAATTTAGGAAAGGAATTATAAAGTTTGTATTGGGTATCGAATCACCATTATGAGCGCAGACAAAGTTGTGAGCACTGGGCAAGATGACTACAGATTCTCGTACCGAAATTAACATGCTGTTGTATGGCAGTACTACCACTTAAGTGGATATCACAGAAGTCTTCCCTTATTAAGAGTATAGCTAGAAGCATACAATTTTAAATAATCTATGTACAATGCGTAAACAGTGTCGATTCAAGAAATATCAAGCATTAGCTCATGTGCGCAACGTAGCTGCACAAAAGAGAAGCTATACAGAAGACTTGTGGCACAGTTAGCGAACAATAGCGCTTGAACGGCCCTCATTTAATCGTCTGTTAATTCTCTGTCAGTCAGACACTTGCGCAAACGAGCGTTGGTTCCATTAGCAGACGATAAGAAAGTATTATGGTTAGTAGTTTCGGCTCAAACCCGCTATTACTGCTGGATCCCATTGATTATCCAGTTGATATGAAAGACACAAAGTTATGCATATATTTAGAATACGTATTTCTGTTTACAACATGTAATATTAGGGAAATGATCTTTGTGCTCTACATAGGAAAGATCAGTCGTACATATGGCCGAAGGAAAGGTCAAAATGGCAGCTTGGCTAGACTGATTCCTCGAGACCGTGGTGAATCATCGCATTCAGAGGGCAAAGATCTTTCCGACGAAGAAATTCCGATGTCAAGGGAAGAGAAGGCACTTGAAAAGGAAAAAACCAAGACTAGGAAAAAACGACCCCCTCCTCTGCCGGTAAGATGATAATTTGTTGTATGCATCTTGATCCTCTTGATAACTTCAATATTCTACAAACGAAGTGCGTATCGACACAGAAAATTGGCTTAATATAACATTGTCAATGCTTCAAGTAATCTACCGACCCCGTATTAGTGTGCTACGAGAGAGGCACGCGATCTTTGGTGACTAACATATATCTACATTTATACATATCTACATTTATAGAGAAACATAATTTTTTTTTAAGTTAATGCTTTCATAGGTCTAAGACTAGCAGCAAAATGTGCAGTATTTCTCAAGAAAATTTTGTTTATTTCAATATAAATTATTATCTAAATTTTTTTTATCTAAAGTAGAATATGCATATTTATTTTACAGCCGGGCTTTAAGGAGTGGGCAAATCGGACCAATGCAGAATTTGAAGAAATAGAGAAGCATCGACTTTTCATTGATACGGAGCGCCGTGCTTCTTGAAGACCAATTTAAGACGTTAATAGTGGTATCAATTTCGAATAATCGCTGCGATGCTACATGTAATTGAATGCATAAGATGTATGATTTTGTCTAAGTAAACCTTTATGAAAGCACCGAATGTCTCTTCTGCTGTGATAAATACTCAGTGCTGCTACAATATGTCTTTATCATTCTACTTTGAGAAGGGACGCAGCTGCTTTTTTGTTGATGACCGTTCTCATTGCATTAAAAGTCTAAGAAGTAGTTCGCTAAAATAACACACATTTGATTCATATTATACGTTATGCATATTATATATATCGATGAATAGAGGTTTGAATAGCTAATCAGTCAAAGGAAACTTCTGGTGAATAACGAACTTCAGTGGGGCACAGCGACTGAAGTTGGTGGACCAACCCAACCATATACAATGAGCCAAACTTTTGTGGATAGAGGACATCCAAATACCATTCTCAGAACCTCTATAATACTCTACAAAGTATAGTCGTGTCATCGTGTACGTTAGAGTACAATTGGTCAGCGTTCAAGCATTTTATCGAACATACTGACAATTTAGCCGAATATTTTCGTTCCATTTGATTCAATGCTAACAGATCTGCGAACCAAGTTTCTTGCCCGTCGTAAAACTCTTTCTGTATTCATAGACAAACATGCCGTGCGGAACGCATTGGAGTATTATTTCTATGGAGTTTTAAATATGGAACTTCCAGCTATTTTGGTGTGGGAAAGGTGCACAGATAATTTGTGTTTATAATTTATTATATCTACTATTTTAGAGCTCAGGAGGCCCGACAGCGCCCATATGACAAACGTCAAGTGTTACTCACCGACTGCTGCTTGAAGTGTACGTTTATTGCCTTTCCTATGTATCATGTCATGTATAAAGACCGGGGGAAAACGGTCCTTCTGAGCTGAGAATGTACAAAATCAGGAAAGTGGAGAGCACCAATTAATTGACGACGGTCTTTCACGCTCTTTTCCGATTCAGCACTTCAGATCAATAGTTACTGCCATGTTGGTATCTCTCGCTTAAAATGTCACGTGGTGTATCCACATGTAACTTCGTAGAGGTTGGTAATGGTGCACCGCACATGGCACTCTTCTGTGCTATTGTAAGTGCTGTATACCGATAATTTCAACATAGTGCTAACAAACCCTAAATTAAAGTGGATTATCAAATAACGCTAAGAGGCGAAAAACGGTGAGCAGGTGTCTTGCAAAAAGAACAATATTTGAAATAACATGCCGATTTTAATTTATTTTGATTTTTCGTTCTAGAGCCCACCTTATTAACGAAAGCAAAATGTAACTATACCAAGAAAAATAGAAATAAAATCAAATGTTCATATGAATTTTTCGTAAAACATCATTCACCGGTGTTATCATGTTAAAATTATAAAAGCATAAAAATGTGTTAGTTTGCCCCTGATGGCCTACCACATATGTGTATTTGGCGCAACGCACGGGGTTTGCTTGATGGACTCAGAGACGAACGACTGACGCAGCGTTTAGAGGATCGTTCAATGTGATTGAATAACCACAATATATGCGTGAGCAAAGCACATCAAAGATACGGGCCAATATGAAGACAGACAGCATCATTCTAATTATAACAAGATCGAACTCCTCTGCTACAGTTGATTATTAAAATGTGATGACTTCTAACTATGCGTAGTTTACGTAGGTGCGATTATCCCATCAGCTGTCGTGCATGCCTAGTATGTGCATACAGGCAACGAATGACAGAACAAAGTGCTATAATCGGTAAAAAATCGCTGTGGAGTTCTAGCGTACGCTCATAGGTGACTTACTGGTTTCTAACTGTTGGCCGCGTCATCAGCTCAGAGCAGCTGATTCTCACTCAGCTGGTGCTCAGCTCACTTTCTCGACGGCGGTTCAGAATTATATCACCGAATTCTGCTACAAAATCTGCGAGAACTTTGAGATTACCGGATGTATCTAGGATTCCCTAACAGGTTGCAGACCAATTACAAGTAGCCGTAAAGAGCATTTGTTGGGATTTCGGAACATATGACTTAATAAGCGAATCTCTTGAGCTAAACATCTCACGGAAATATTTGCGACGCCCATATAAAGGAATACAAACCCTTACTTAAGTCAATCAAATAATTCAAGCAGCCACAGTAGCTATTCCTGTAGATATTGCACTTGAACTATAACTAATGCTATAATAGAAATCAGTGGGGTGATATTCTGCCAGTTCTGCCTAAGTTAAATTGGCTTTTTTTACAATAATTTGTTACTATTTTAACAAAAAAGAAAGAAAGATTCTTTAAGCGTCCAGAGACTTTTGGCTTATTATATGGAATTTAGGTATACTACAAGACCTTCTTCATTAACACGTAGCTAGAGAAATAGTAATTTGTTGTCGAGCGAATCAGATTTGCAACGTTCGGTCATTATAATGATAGCAGGAATAAGTAAGCGGTTACATAGATGTAGCATCGAATAGATGTAGCATCGAGTAGATGTAGCTTGTATAATGCTGTATAAATAGAATATGGGTACTGTCCTTTAAATGATGTAGTTCGATAAAATTTCAACTTCTTTGATCAAACAGCCGACAACTTCAAGTCGTATTATATTACAATATTGTATAGTTTATTGTTGTTCTGCTTTCTCTTTGTTGAACAAAAAAGTCGAACGAATCTGAAACTTAGACCAACAGACAACAAATCCTAATCTCACTAGCAGAATCTACTGTTACTCTTCTCGTAGTTCCTATCAATGTACCACTGCAGACGCAAGGTATGTCGCTCTTCGCCCTTTGTTTGACGCTGCAAGGAAGTCCCCCGGCGAGATTGAGATTTACTTGGGGACTCCTTTTCTGTTATTATGCCTACATAGAATTTCTCGTGCAAACCGTTGTTACGTTGCTTCAAGTCGTCAAAGCTCACGGCTCGTGTGAAGCGATTCATTGAAATCTTCTGATGTCGTTTCACTTAAGCTACGGCTTCTAGATGAATTAAGTTGCGTTTCGACGTTTTAGGAAATTTTTCTAGCAGAAGATATTATTTGAGTAGGACAGGCACAAAGTTAAGTATCTCAAAATCGTTTATTGTTCTGCCTACGACGATTTGCTCCAAAATACTTCTGTGATAGGAATAAAACATAGGTTAATAATATCGTTAGTGCTTTTAAAGAACTAGACAGGGAAGATTCCGTTTCTCTGTGAAGAAGACAAAAGCGCAACTTCATGTTCTTACGTTAACATCATGGCTTGCTTGGGCTGTACCTAGTTTACCAGAAACAGTGAGGAGCGCCTCTATATTAATACAGCTCTAAATCTGAAAATAGCTTGGAGGCCCTTCTGAAGGCATTCATCCGGTTTTTAGCTGAATGTTAACTCTAACCTATCTAGCCGGTTAACGTTACATAGCATTGTATATAAGCAGATACTACGTTGCGTAGAGCGATTTTGTTTTGGCAGCATAGGGTTAGTGACTACTGTGGAAACAGGTGCGCGTTTATTAACTTTGCGAAAAGAGCGACGCATGAGGAAAGCCTCATTGTCAATTAAATTTGTCTTTTCTTATTAAAATTAGTACAGATAATACGTCTATAAGATCGCGTGAACCTTCAGAGCGTACTATTTAATAAACAGTTTATTTCAATTCCTTCTTGACCGCTGACCTTACTTTCATTGGGATACGAAAAGATACGGAAGTTCGAGAAAATACATTATATTCCTTAAATGTGCCTTGAGAGACGATCTTTTTGCCTCTGCAGTGTGACCAATGTATGGACATTTTACGAAGATTATTAAATTTTTTTTGCAGTAGGCTTGAAATTAACAACTACGGGTGGGAGTCACTGGTTAAGACCATTGACCGTTCCTTCTGTAAAGAAAGGGGGTCCGGTGACAGCGAAGAGCTGGGTATTGAAGTCGTATCGTCATCGGCATAACAGCGATCTGCCGTCTGGCGCATTCGGGTGGCTCCTCTGATAATTCTCGGACAAGGATTTATTCTGCGTCAATTTTCAGGCTGTTGCAGCACAGAGAATCTGTTGCATGGCTCAATGATGCCACTTTGTACATGAGAAACGTTATCGCAGAGTATACCAAATCAGCGCTTCTTTAGCCGGATAGAGGTGAGCACTAAAAACCATTGTCATCGATAGTTTGCATAAGTATTTAGCCATATCTCGATTGCCCTCGATTATTTTCTGCAGCAGAAGCATCTTGATCTGCGGATTTTGTAGGTCCGCAATTATTTCGAGCTTTCACGCTCATTCAAACATTTCTAAAGCGGAAAGCCCCACTCGCACATCTTCTACCTGACACTTACTGCCTTCACTTATATCCATAGCTTTACCTGAGTTCGTGATTGTGATCGTGATTCACCTTAAAATGAAGGGAAAAACAAACGCCATAAACAACAAAGCGAAGCAATGCTGATACGACCAGCAAACAGCCTATGGATGTTAGACTCCATCGCTGCCAAACTACTTTGCCATTTCCACTAATGAATAAGAGGTCTGCACTAGCTTCACGATAATGTGATACGTTATTTAAAATTTCTATGAGCGATTGTTCTGTTACGTCGAGAACGTGAGCCATTCATTGCCTTGTACAGCCAGTTCTCTATGTGCTGCGCAAACATGAGGCGCCGCAGTTCATGCATGGTTGTTCAAATCTCTAAATGATCCTATTAGCATAACAAGAGTCGCCTAATACCTGATGGAGGCCTATACACCTGAAACCTGAAACTAGGCATCTCCTTTACTACACCGAAAAGAAAGCGATTATAATTAGGAAAGTTTGAATCAACCACATTGTTCCGCCCCCTATCCGGTTGGAACTTCTTAGCAGGTATTGATTCCAGAATTGAGTCTCTTTGAGGGCAGTTAGTTTGTTACATCATCGTAGTGGGCGATAGGTTCGTTTATTCTACTTAGGTTTTCCGGGAAACTAACAAATTGGTAAATAAAAAAGACTTCCAAGTACGCAGGGCATATACAGAGCTATTGTATCTGTAAACTCATATTCATTGAAATTACATATCACGAATAATCCACGAAAACAAATTATTCATCTGCTTAACGCGGCCCAGTTTGAAAATCACTACCTTCCGTTGTGTGCTGAGCGCATTATCACAAATGTCTGTGGCATATGTAATGCATCTACACGCATTGGTAGCCTAAATATATATATTGCTGTTACCTTGTAGCGCAATTCAGATACGAAATGCAGTGAACTATATTACGCTATTAATTTGACATCTTAATGCACCGTTACGAATAAACTGTTTAAATGTTTAGAAAATATCTTGCCCAAATGAAATTACTGTTCAAAATATGATTTATATGGGTACGCGTCTAGAAAGATCTTCAATTAGAGGGCTGGACAGTGTAGCAATGTAAGCATAGCGTTTTAAGTATAATTTAAGCAAATGACAATCTCAGTTCAATCAAATTGTTCGGTATGAAAAAAGTCCAAAAAAGATAATTAAACCTTCTGACACTACAGAAAACCGTATCTTATCTTATATATTTTATATACATATAATATATACGACGGCTGACAGCACAGGATTATTTTAGATCAACTTTCTAGACTTTACTCGCTCATACTAAATTATTGACTTGGGTTACAAATAATGATGTTACAAATAATTCTTATAGGCATGCATTTAATGGAACTACAGTTTTCGGAGCTATAAAGAGTTGTCAACGTTATTTGGCTTAGGGTAATTTCTTCTTACTGACTCCATCGTTTCGACAACCCATTCGTTCAAATTCACACTCCGATTCTGGCCGATTCGCCAATTCAGAAATTATCAACTGACCATCTGCATAGTGTTCGGATTAAGATAAATGGATTTTGTCAAATTGTTGCTAACGAATATGTTGCATTTGCATTTAGCTAAAGAGGCATTATGTTGACGATAAATAGTCCTCTTTGGACGGAGGCTGACGCATTATGTGTGCCAGTGACAACCTATCTCTGTGACACTTGAATGTGAGCAGGTTTTGCGAAGTAACAAGAACTCAGAGTTTATTAAGAGGTAAAATTGTATAGCCTGTTTCAGGCCAGATTTTAATGATATGGAGCATATTAGATACTGGCGTACCATTAAGTATGTGTTATCCCTTGAATATGCTTGACGTTAAAAACATGGCTTTGGCTCAATGTTTGAATATGCTCTTTTTGCTTAACGTAGAATTCGTCGCAGGATCCTTCAATGGAACCTTTTAGAATCTATTTGGGCATTATTAAATGTATATCTGTGCTAACCTTTTTCTCAGTCTCCTCTGCATTTATGATGGCAGTATTTTCCTTCGTTTTGGCTGGGTTATTGGGAGCCCTTCATTTGACAAATGCAGACGAAGTCATTCTCATGGAACCGTTCGATCCTTTGAAGGTGAGAAAATAGTGAAGCTTTTTTTTTGACTAGCATTTTGACTAATACGGAGAAGTCATTAGACCTGTTCTTCTTTTTTTATCGTATTGCCTTGCCGCACTGAAATATTTTGACAATCTGGAATGATTAATTCTTTTCTAGAATTTTGAAACCATTTATTATTTAAGTACCACATTTACGGTTTTATATTTCTGCGCCGAACTCCACAGTAACACATTTCATTGAATTTTATATAAACATACTAGATGCTGCACAGGTACCTCTTCTTGTAATACTGAGATGTTATTAAAAAAATTTACTAACAAGTGTATTAGGTTTCGTATCCTCTTGGAGAAGCGGCTCACTAACTGTTAAGTTGCAGAGAAAGCAATTACTTTTTTTAATTGTCTCTCGTTTTGAAAATCTACTAGTCTTTGGTTAAGTATTACGCATGTATCACTTTGCAATGCTTTTACTGTAAGCTTGAACCTATATTAAGCGGTTCTTGATAGATCTTGCCGTATCTAAGGTAAATATTCGGGACCGGTTCGGTAATCTTTAGCAAAGCGTTGCTTTTCAGTCTAATATTATTGATCCGCATCATGCAATAAAACACCAGATATATTTACCCTCAACTAAACTGGCTCGGGTGCGATAAATCCTACTTTTTTGAACTTTAGGAGAGTGAAAAGTAAGGACATCAAACTCAAAATTTCACACTAAAATGTGACGCAGGAATACGCTACTGCTTCATCATTCATTTTGTCTACATACACATGTTTTTAGTGTGAGCGATTGCATAACATTGCTAACTAATCTAAATTCAAATATCATTTATATCGCATAGAATGAATTTGGCGTTTGCTTTTTGCAACTGGGCACTCCTTCGGAATCGTAAGGTAACAGGTACATGGCGTGTATGGAAGCGGAACACCCATCTGATTGAACAGACGTCTACCGTTCGTTGTATTGAAGTCGAAATCGAGCATGATGAGAACTCCGGAGATATCTTCAAGATGCTTGTAAAGTGGATTGACCCAAAGTAGGTCTCAGTAGGACTAATGTCCAGTTTGCCGATATAAGTCCATAAACAACCAGAAGCTACTTTTTATTTTAGGTGTGTCCGAAGAATATTACTCCGATTGTGCTTTATTTGAACAGCACATTAGTAGCTTTAATCTACTGAAGACGGCAGGGTTATAACGGTCCTAAGACAGCGCTCCTTTGGAATAAAATTCAAATACATATTTAACTCGATGTTCTATTTATAACATTTTAAGGGCCAGGACCTATCAGAACCAGAAGCTTAGTTGTATTCAATATTAAGTGATGTATCTTAAAATGAATAGCAGAGTTAAGTGTAGAAAACTCTGGATCTACTATTTAAACTGCTTTATTTTTTCAGCAACGGTAACTTAAACATATCATTCTATGTCGTTGATGATCGGTCTCACCCCGCAAGGTTCTTCTTCAAAGCAGATCGTAAGCGTCCTCAACAATGTAATAACGTTCCCGCGGCTAACACCAAAGTCGAATAGATTTTCCAGTTTTATAGCTTTTTATTAAAGCGATATAGCACTTTAGAACTGCTACTGAATGGAAGTAGTTTTACTTTTTAGCTTAGTACTAGAACAGCTCAACAACAGTGAAACTTCTATGAACGTATTTTGTTGGGGCTCAGAGAATTTGGGTTTGCACTATAGTCAACTTGAAATGTCCCTCATATAAACGAAATGTCCTTTATTGTGCAAACATTGTCGGCTATTTTATAGCAAGCGACGATAGCAGGAAAGGATTGCGTTAGTCGTGATCAATCTATTCATACTAACATAAAGGTTAAGTATAAACGTAAAAATTGACCGCGACATTAACAAAGATGTCCGCGTTTGTCGTTATGTAGACAAGTTTATTCAGTACCTATGACATCAGTATCGTGCAAAGTATGTACCAACTTTAAATAGGAAATAGGAAATTTTACCTAAAATGGTGAAAATGCAATTTAGCTTTGAGCATCTTCAATCGCATGTAATAGTTGACAGTGCTTTCCGATAACTCCAGCTCTAAAAAACTGAATTGCACGAACGTGTCTTCCAGAACATAGGATTGCCTTGTCAGTGCTGGGAACGGACTATAATAATTGGGCTGTGGCATACGGCATGCTCGGTCTAAAAGGTAAAAATTAGCCTGCGAATGAATAGTTCCGAAATTTTTTTTTGATTTTCCAGCCCCACTTTTGTAGCTGCGCTGACAATAGATAAAGTTGTTAATATAACCTGGAGAATAAAATTGCATTACAAGTAACCACATGTTTTCAAATACTTTGAATTATCTGGTAACAAGAGCGTTCTCGTATTAACTTCAGAGTCATACTTCGTGGCGGCGCGCAAACTTCCACTGGACGACGCAGCGTTAACCGATGTAGAATCAATAATCAGCAAGAATCAAGTCTCGAAAGACTTTACGGTTGTTGACCATTCATCCTGTTAGAAGTGTGTATCCCCATTCATGCAATATCTGTGGCAGTTAGTGTTTCTTCGAGTATTAGTTATCGCACATTTATCTATTTAGCTATATATACAGATATAGCTATATACATCGATACAGACCATAAATTCCAGCGCACATTTTCTGACAAGTGAACGTAAACCTTTTTAAATAAAGTATTGTACCCTCAAGGTGTGCACTTAGACTACATACTGAAACTGCTGGATCACAGAAATTCTATAGTGAAACAATAAATATGAAATTATAATAGCTCTGTTTCGTATTAGACTAATCTGATATCTGAAGAAGTTTTGGATCTTTCTTATTTTCATTGCTTTTTCTGTTGGCATTAAAGGTGCAGGCATTTCACAAAAATAACATTTAAAGAAGAATAACACTAACAGTAGTTGTTTAGTGGCGGAAAACGTTTCCCCTTTCGAGATTTTGGCGCTTTTCGAATATTGATAGTTTCCTTTTACTTCAGGAGAAGCGTTACAGCAGATTCATATTATGACTCTATCCATATACGAAATTCTGCCTTCTAATTATCAATTTATATCGATGAGGTTAAACTAAGTATGAATTTGCTTTTGTACTAAGTCCTTTTAACTTACACGCGGGGTAAAATCTCAACTGAAAAATCATTTCGAGCCTTTAAAAAATTATGTGAACACTATATCAACCGGTACATACTGCGGTATGCGACAAATAGCATAATAAACTTTTACCTTTCTTATTATCACCATCGGACTTTCTGAACAGCAAATGTCATGGTTCTGTTACTCAACGCAGACACTCAAGCGAAGATGGGCTCTATATAAATATTTATCTGTCATACGGCTAATTGCAAAAGCTAACGTAATTTTGTGTTGGCATGGTTTAGTATCGACGATCGCGTTATGATTGAACTAGTGAATTGAAGGTGAAAAGAATATTAATTCGAAAGTAAGAGCAAAGTACTGTTGTCCATTCGTGAATTAACTAGAGCCGGTATTTTTAAATGAGAAAAGAAGTTCCAAAGGCTAGTGGGTAATTTTTATTATGTCGTGTCTGTTTTATATTTACTGCAGGGGTTATCACATATAGAAAGACCACAGTTCCATATTACAGGATTATCGTATTTGGTATACCATTATTTAAAATATATTACATAAATCGACTAGTCGCGAAACACGTACATAAACGGACCACTGATTGTGACTATGGACAGCGGCTTTAGGGTAAAATAAAAATCGTTTTTGATATGGGGATTAACCTGTTAATTTCTCCTTTCCAAAAATTCGCTTAGTTGTTTAAGACTAGTGTTCCTACATCAACAAACCGTAGGCAATATTGGTTAATATGATATCTGTATTTGAATCTTCAAAGATACCTTTATTATTTTCCTATCAGTATCATAAATTCACGTTTTCGATTATAAGTATTTAAATCCTGGGTTTTCAAATTCTGATTACACAAAGCAGCAAGAAGGCAATATTAGTTTAAGAAATAAGAAGCTCCTTAAATTTTCTAGTAGACTCTCTAAAGGTCTTTGTGCCATAAACTTATTTTTCTCACAGTTTTAAAAGACAAGGAAATAAAAGGCCTAGATTCTTAGCAAATTAGGCCTTAATGATAACAGTTCCTTCCGTTATAGAATCAGGTTTAGAATCTCTACTGCCGAAACGAAACACATCGCATTCTTATCGAGTTTCGGCTCTCTTACCTAACAGTTTGGGGGGAGTTTCGCAAGATGACGCGGCTTTGATATTTTTGATAGGTATGATCAATTGGACATTATTATTAGAGCACAGAAATTGCCGCACGCTCTCTTTTGATATACCCTCGATAAGGCCGATGAACAGAATTAACAAGAAAAAGCGCTATTTAGTACAATGCTTTGCGGACATTCAGTACTGGTGTATCTTACTTTTGGGAATGACCAGTTTATTTTGATATTAGGCAGTTTTCCATGAAGAGAGAGAGCCATGGATCAAATACGCAGGTTGAAGACAACCTTTATAGGAGGCGGAACTGAGAGTATGGTATCATACGGCACGACATTGAATGCACCTCGGAAACCCGTGTATGTTACATCAATGAGAAGATTTTCATTTACGGTAAGAATAACCACGTACGAACAGTCAAGAAGGCAGCTCATAGTGAGGCTTCGCGTTCTATATGTGTAGTGTCTAGATAACCTTTTGTCCTTCTGCACTTAAAATTATAATCTTGTTAACCATTCTTTCCATAACCTACGAACTACGCGTCCTAGCACATGATAAGGATTTGTCCTTTTTCAAAGGATCATTCAGGAATTTGACTTGAAATTAAGAAAACTGAGCACAGATCTCTGGAAGAATAATGCTAGAGGTTTTAAGCCGACGTAAAAGGTTCTCATCAAAATGCATTTTCACATCGTAATGACAGTAAAATTATAATAGGACCCTTCTGGAAGCTCATTTCGGTTTTATTGTGTTGTACACCGTTGTTTCCAATAGGTCGACGTATATAACATACATTTAGTGGGCAAGGACAGTCTTGCCAAACATCGAAACGAGCGAGATATACCTATTCGTGTACATTATTTTGAAGTGGTAGCAAAGCAGACAAGCTTCTCTCGTTCAATACCTTCAAACCACCATCACCTCATAGAGTAAATAAATAATTTCTGTCCCATTTTTAAGATTGCAGACTTATCCAAAAACCGTAAAGAATATTTGGAATGTACAGCACTTTTTCCTAGGAAATGCTATGGTCTTGTTGACAGAGCTCGTTAATTTTTTTATGTCATTTCGCAAATTAAATCTGTTATCTAAGCAAACAGTTCGTGATTTTCATATAGAGGCGAAGCACTTGTGAATCGTTTCTCTTCGTCCTGCAGAGAGAACGCTGGTTGCAGTGGGTAACGCTAGGTCATGAAGGGTTGTTTACAGGAGCAAGCTCGGTCTTAGTTAGTGCCAGAAAATTAGAATTACGACAATGCGAATCTTAATTGCTCTAGTCACTTATAGGTATTCCTACTGCATTGCGTAACAAATTGAAGGCTTGTATATACAAAGCATCTCAAAAATGTATAGACAGATTAAGTTATTATACCCCCCGTTTTAATTCACGTGTAATTTATTTAATAAGTAATATTTAAATTCCAGTAGCATCTGCATATCATATATATATATATGTATATATATATTGTCCAACACTGCATGTTCAAAATTATTATCATCCTAGTAAATGTATATGATGTTGCTGTGTAACATGGGGAATTAGAGTTCCCTGTTAGTGCAATTAGGCTGATTAATTGTACCATTTAATCTGAACGTACTTTTATCCGAATTCACCGAATAATCTTCTCCAAAAGGCGATACATCTTGTTAACATTTTTCAAGCACCACTCGTGAAATTTTTCTTTTCATTCCAGATCATTTTCATTAGTAGTACATATTATTGTTGAAATGTAGCTTTTTCATTTATAACGTCTTATGGATACGATAGAAATTTGACGTGCTGATGCCAAGCTCACAAATTATTACATATCTACGAAATGGGCTAGTACATCTTCCCAATACTTTTTCTCGAACGGTAGAGCTCGTTAATTTTCTTGATCTTTCAAAACGTTGTCTCCATCCGCTTCGAGCTTATTTTGTATTCAATTAATTGTACCTGGATCTATTTGAAACTTTTTACGATACTGTTTTTGAGCTTTCACCGTATCCTCATCCTTACAACAAGATTTTAAATAAATTATCATTGTTCGAAAGTTAAGCGTACTCCACTCATTATTTTTTATTTGTGATAAATAATTATATAAGCAATGAAACGTCTAAAATGTATACATAAATTATAGGCATCTCAGCGACAGGATAAAAATGTAGGCCATGATATGCTTGAATAAATTATTAGTCGTGATTTCTAATACTTCTAGCCGGCACCATCAACTTTAAGACAGCTAAGTTGACTTAGTATCGTGCGATACATATAGTTCGAAACTTGCTCGAAGAATCGTTTGCACATCGAAAAATTATTTCATAGGTTTCAATATTATCATTAACATATCCGAAAGTTAGCGACAATATCTTGGTTCTGGTATTAAGCACAATAGGATAGATTTTATGCTACGATAAAACGAATTTTCGATAAATGTTATGTATGGTTAAGATTGCTAAAGAGATACATACAAAGTGGTAAAGTTATATTTTGATTGGAGCGTTTGTAGCACAATGGTACAAGATGTGTTTGATATATGAAAAACGAACATGAAATGGTGTTAGTATTGGAACCCGAATCCATAGTACGTGCACAGCACGTTTCAAATCCATGGGGCATTATAATCATCACAAACTTTGTCCTTATTTGTCATAAATAAGAGGAAATACTCAAAAAATAATATTTCTAAAAAGGTAAATAGGTCGATTTAATGCCTAATTAAACATATAAAGTACTACCCTCCTACTAGGATAGGAGCGTATTTCATATACATTTTGATAAAATGTAAGTAAAGGAAGTTAATATTTTTTATAATATCGGGAACCCGGAGGACGGTTTAGGGCGCATGCGAGGCTTCTGGGCTGCCTAATCGCTAAGTGATATTTTTGTCAAAATTAAGATAATGTACTGAACATCAAGCTAACATTATTCTCTAGTACCATAGGAAGTTTTTTAACGAAAAAAAATCGATTCATTCTAGTTTTGTTGCTAAAATGACCGCTTGACGTCGGTGGCGCAAAGAGTCAACACAAACCCCTTCTTCAAACCAGCTAACTGACGTCAAACCTTATCCCTCACGTTCCACGGCGAGATTTTTCTTAGATTCTTCAGTAGCGTGAATGATTTCACAAATACGACCGGGAAACATGGAAAAAAAATCGAAGAAAAATCGTCGAAGGCAACTAGCAGATATAATAAAGAATTGTTAATTTTTTGGGTTGTGTAAGTACTCCGCTTACTGGACACTGATCTTTTATGTATAAGTTGATAGAACTTGTAGTCGCTTTGATTGGTACGTATGGTGTTTGTAAATTACTGATAGCACTGTTAAAGTCCGTGCAGTTGTAATCCTCCGCGAAGAATGCCATGGAATTCTTGGACGCTACCCAGCAGAGGTTAAACTTAGGAACGCTGCAAGTGTGTGGTTTTGAAAATGCCTACGACATGTTACTTCAAGTTATCAGACTGCAAAGAATTAATTATTAAACGCAACGGCGCCGGCTTTGGGATGCAAGGAGGCGAGAGCCATATTGCTAGCTCCGATGCCTTTAAATCGTTTTTGAAACGGTCCTTTTCGTCTTCGCCTCCAAAGAAAGTCTTTTGTTTATAACCAATAAACCAGCGAACTCAAGAGGTTTAAAACAACTGCTAGCAAAGCGCTTCGACGACAAACAGAAGTTAATGAATGCTCTCATTACGTACTTTACTGCAAATAGCTGCCAATAATGTTCAAGATATTAGTAGCTCTGATGATACTTGCGTGAAGACCAATCATGCGTAGTGTGCCGTTATCCCAAACTGTATGATAAAAGCTGCTATATATGCAAGTTTTCGTGAGGAAAAATTTTTACTCTCAAAACTATCTAATTGACAAAAAACCTTCCTTGTACGACACACTGTCAAATCTCGATCTGTAGATAAAGCTAAATATCATTGTTTGCAGACCGTTTGCGCCCCTCAAAGTATGAGAGTACTGGATCGACTGCTACTATATTAGATGAAACAAATTTTCCATTTTCCTTGAAATCTCCGAAATGTCAGTTACCGGGTTTTGCAGTCCAAAAGTTTATATATATATATATATATATATATATATATATATATATATAATTCCGTCAGAATTAGTATTGAATAAAATAAGTTATTTTTTATAATCTTAGTTGCTAGAAATGCGTTGAGCGGAGAAAAGATACACAAAGACAAGAAAATGTTTGTTTTAGTTAATTTAAATATTTGCAAATATTATACATATCATAAAAGCTTTTTGAAATCCCTGCAAGCCTTATCGAAAAAAAGTTCCTTATCGAAAGCAGCGTAAGCAGCGTTTACCATTAGAGTATTGGCTGTAATAATGTATGTGTAATCTTCTCCTAACATTTTATTCGTTATTATGACGTAAATTTTGCCATCTTCATATCATTCTATATTTTGATCCCGTGTACACCCTTAGACTGATTAACAATTTATAGTATTCATATTATAGCAAATCTTGTCCACCTTGCACGAGATCTAGTATATTAAATATATATTTGGTAAATTGAATGCTGAAATGAGCAAGTCTTGTAAATCTCATGCAAGAAATAAACACCTACATTTCTCCCTGTTTTGCACTTGTACTTTTTTCTGTGCAATGAACTCCTATTTGTGTAAATGGAGGTGTTAAATAATTCAATTTTCATTGCAAATCTTAGTGCCTATAGGAGGCTTTGTGTGATTTTGATTTTGCAGGATGTTGCCACCGGAGAGTCCATGGGATGTGCGCGCCCGGTTTTGTACTGAGCATCCTCCACGCGGTTCCTCTGGCTTGTCTCCGTTTCAAGGAGACATCTGCCCCGTCCTCATCAAGGTTCTCTGTAGCTCATATTCTTTGTGTCACTCGCGTTGGCATCTTCAGTGGGCTTCAGGTTATGTTTTTCGCTTCTGTGTTTTCCGCGTCGTCCTTCACTTTAAGAAGATCCCTTGTCAACTTACGATTTGCATACGAACCCTTCACTGTGGAGGTTTTTTGTTGACAAAATATACAGATTGCAAACGCTTTGCACTGATCAGGTATATTTTGTTGCTTATTTTGTGTTATCCTTTATTGTTTTGAATATCAAGACTGATTTTGTTGTTGATCAAAAAAAATATACAGATATATACTTTACAAACGAGTACAGTTGTTTCATAGTGAAAACTACCTGATATGACTGCTAGTGTTTGCTTCTTCAAAGGAAAGAAATTTTCCAGCAGCATTCACAATAACAATTGCAAAAAAGATATTATGTGAATTCTTTTCTGGCCACGGAAATAAATAAGCGGATCACTTGACATTCGACCATGGTAGGATATGTCTTCCCGAATCGCATTCATTTTCATTTTTTTGTACGAACTGCATGACAGGCCACAGTAGTTCGCTTCGAGGTGCAGGTTTTATATTGAAGGATTCTGCCTTTAAATATAAAATGAATTGTGCCGAAACTGATCTTGCGTGTATTCTACGATAGATTCCTCATTACCTTGAGAAATTCATCAAGGTCTACTTTGGTAGGTTCTCTTTGCTGTTTATGAATTTCTGCAATCCCTGAAGAACTACCGCTTATCCTGACCGGCCCGTTTGCCTGAGTTTGTTGTCTAGCTTCGCTGTAGATCATGGGAGGCGCAAATTCTGGTATTCTTTCTTGGCGGCAGCTTTCTATGTAATCCTCGTAACCAAATCTATTTCGTTTCCTTCCTGTTGACAGTCCTGAAAGATCATAATCTTAATCTAGTTATCAGAGTTAATAATATTAAAACTAACGTGTAGGGTAAGCTATGTATCAATGGAGGTTTCTATCACTGGCTAGCAATTCATAGGTTACAAGAGCGTTCTGCAGGTTTTCGATATATATGAGCATCTAAATACTTCATCAGCCTTTATATTGCTAACAAATATAAATGAGAATTAATTATTATTTCCAAAAACAAAAAAGCCATAGGATCTTTTTGCAGAAATTGCCAATGCTTATCCGTTTGTTTTTTCACATATTTTTAAAGCATTATCGCTTGCCGTTGTACGAGGGTTAAACAGTGGTAAAACGAGTCTGACGGTAAGCTAGAGCTGTTACATCAGTGCTTCCCTATCTTGGCTTTAAGGTGCTTACTTTTTAATATATAATATCATACCTCGACACTTACTGATCGGAACCCCGTGAAGCTCTTTGCCTTCGTCCCACGGACGCACGGGTGCGGGTGAAGCTGTGGAGGTAGCTGCAAGCGATGGTTGACGACGTTCATCCTAAAATATAAATCGTCAATTAAGTAACGTTGGAATATGTCACCGTCAATATTCCTTTACTGGTGGAGCTATCAAGATTTCCGATGTTCTACCTTGTTTGATTGAAGGAAGTCAAATAATGAAACAACAAACAAGATACGCGAGCACGTAAAAATGTGCTAGCCAGAACTTCCGACATTATGACACGCACAAGTTGCGCACGTAAATTCAATTATACTATGTCCTTCTCGTTTAACTTAAAGCAGCTTCTCTACCCTATTACATAGCTACCTCTACGAGCTGAGGTAGTTAACGATCTTTTTTCCAAATTGGTACTTATTTTAGAGCTAGCCATTCGGCCCACAAGCAAAGCCAACCATATAGAATGCTGTATTTTTCATAAATATGGCAATAAAAAGAATAACTGTATATATATAGAAACCAATAACTATGTCCTTCATTCGTAATAGCAAACTAACGCAGCGTGAATATACTGATGAAGGACCTGTACTGAAAAATACATCTAAAAAATGACGAGTAAAATGCACAAGTCTATGATGTGGCTAATAATTATATACCTATAAATAAAAACATGCTCATTTATTAATGCAGGTATTATCGTAAAGCGTAACGATTTCCTGTCAGGGAACATATAGAGTGAGTACTCGTTTCTATTTGTAAAACATCGTTTATAGGGCCTTCGGTCTTTCACATCTTCACATCTTGATTTATACATTTTAACAGTTGATTGATTTGATAGTTTGCTAATGGCCTTATGTGAAATAGTGTTACTAGGCACACCATCATCTTCTAAATACACGTTTAAGCTATTTCAACGATTCGATTTCAAGGCTTGGATGTCATCTACTAAATTAGACTTATCAATAAAATGTATTCATTTAAAACAGCTAAAATGCTAAACTAATAAATCATTTCATCAAGTTTCTTGCCTTTAAATATAAAATTTTTGTAATGTAAAGATGAAAACGTTTCCGTATTTTTCAGAACGAGTGGTGCAAATGATTTCATCATTGTTATTATAATCTAATACAAATTAGGCTTAATATAATATCAAATAAGACATCAGAATAATATGTGCAAATTTTAAAAAAATATTACGCATGTATGTACCGAACTGTTGCCTACTGTTGCACAGGGCATATTTTTACGTTTAAGAAAGGCGTGTTCGCCTTGAGTATGCAGTAAAGAATATGCGGAAAAAAGCTTACCTTCGCGCCGATGATTTCAGCCTTAGCACCGGTAATGATATCCGGCTCGTCCAAGTCGCCCGGAGGTAATCCCTTTAAAATGTCACAATCAAAGATCATGAAACGAACTTCAGGTTAATTTGGACATTGCAGCTTGATTAAGCTTATTTGTAGATTTATTATTATTTGTAGATAGCTCTACTATTAGTGGTAGCAGGCTAACGTTATTACTCTCGTAAATCAATATTTATTAAGATGTATTATTTTTAGTTTGGTTAGAGCCACGTCCTATCGGATATTCCGCAAACAATAATTCCTATGAGAACATGTTCGATATAGGACTTATGTATCTTTATGAAGGCTATCTATTCATAAGTGAGTTTTCGTTCAAATTTTATCTTTCTGGTAACGGTGTCTTAAAATAAGTAACTCCATATATCCAGATTCACTTCGATTTAGAACTCTCCTCTTTCCTAGAACTAAAACACCTTTTCTGGTGATTTTCATCTTTAGAAAAACCTGCATATGTAACACAAATACCAATTCTTGTGGCCATTGATTGTGTAGATACGCTGGCTCCTTCAAACGCAGTCCGTACTCACGTTATCCATGGTCACCAATTATATTTTTGATACTGCGTAGCATTATTTCAGATATCATATTTAAAGAAAATATTATACTTTTCAATCAAAACTGTGCCAATTTTGCGTACTTTTACATATTGTATTGGATACACAACTGTCCTATTAAGCAAGTTTTCGAGATATTTAAGGAAAAAAAGTTTAGCAAAACATGAGAAAAGTATATCTCAAAACCCAACGCATTTGCAAAGCTAACCCTGCTACCTCAGCACGAACAGGAAATTCAAATTGCAATGTTCAAGCTAGTAGATCCTCTAAGTGAGTCTCACGAGCGTGAAGAATGATCATTAGACATATGTATTCTCATTTACTGCTATTTAAGCCAGAAAAACTACCCAAAATACACTTTCTAGCCGGTTTGATCAGTGCTGTCGGACGGAGGTTTTTTTATTTGATACTTCTTTTCCCGCTTTATTACCTATTAATGGTCAGCATTTAATTTTTACTTTAAATACAGTAGAGCAGAATAGAGCTTTCTAACCGTATACAACACATCTTGACTATTAACCAGGCATAAACAAATACTGCAAGAACTTACGTTTCAAAGTAACCTAAAGTTTTTACAAAACAAACTATACAGCAGGTTTCTACCACCTCTATATCGAAAAATCGCTAACCTACACTATGTAGGTCCCTGATAGTGAACGAGTCCGTCGAATTTGCTGAATGGTATTACTTATCTTAGTCCACTCTTAATAAAATCGCACAATATGAAATTTGTTCACCCATCTACGTTTGGTTAGTCAAAATAGTTGTGTAATACTTTCTAATTTAATTTACTCTTTAGAAACCTAGCTAAGTAGCATCTAGTTGATCAACCTAGTGCTATCTTTTGCAAGAACGTAACTTAAAGCACAATACCTTTCTCTCTCGTATTCTATTAAGTCGCTGTTGAAGAATAGCTTGCTTTCTTTTTTTCACTTCCTGCGCAGCTTTCTGATTCTGTATTGATTCCTCACGTAATCCATCAAGTATCTTTAGTTGCTCAGAACGCTCTGCCTCGTTACGCGAAAACTCGAAATGGACCTTTAAAGAAAAATAAATGTAAATATTGTCCCAGAGCGATAAACAAATGTTTTTCGGCATTAGATTGAAGCATCTAAATGTGCAATAACTAAGGCCAATCTAAAATAGGCCGGGACAGGTCAGTAGCTATCTTGAACCCATCTTGGTCTGACATGGGTTGCCTTTAATGCAAAATTTAAATGAAAACTTACTTTGAATTTCAGTTTGAATTAATGGTCAGGCTCATAAAAAAACACTTGCGGCTGCAGCTTTTCTTACCTGACCATGTTCGCGCACTTCATTAAAGAGTACATCTCGGTAATGTATACGTTCCTTTGCAGCGTTTTCTTGTTCCACCTGGGCCCATTGACGCAACCTTTTTTCTTTTTCGAGGTCTTCAACGGCATTCATAGGTTTTGATATTTTAATGCCAGCTTCACTATCAACACCTTCGCCGGTTGGCACCGGTAGTGGAATGCTTCCGATGGCCTGCCAATTTAGTCATAATGTTATAATTCATTCAGATATAAGTCTGTACTGGGAGCAAAATACGATACAGTGTCCCTCTATACACACATTAATTTACACATGTATATACAGGTATTTATTAAGTAGCCAATAAATTGGACTACATTCGACCGTGTTTGTATATAATGTAAGTTTCCTAATGGCTAACCTCATTCGAATGACTTTTCTCAAGGCTTTTCCTTAAACGTTCATCTTCACGTAAAAAAATGGTAAGCTCCGTCTTCAAGCATTTTCGAGTTCGTCCGAGCGAATCCGTAAACGTTGTCCTGTAATCATTAGATTGATGGAGAATAACGTCAGTTTTTGGTTGTCGCCTCATGTGTTTCTAATGTTCTGTTTGCTGGTACTTAAACGTCTTGTTCCGTTAGAAAACTCGTCTGTTACTCTGCGATTATATACCGTCGCAGTTTTCTCGTGATTAAAAAAAATTTACCTTGAACAGATATCTCTGTTTACGGGAAACAGTATTTTCGACTAATGCTCTGTTTTAACTTTCTTCTAGTGTCAAAAAGGTTTAGAAAAAAATTAACACTAGCTGCAGCCGTGGGCGCAATGGTAAGCTATAGAAAAAATTCCAGTCATGTTTTTATAACATGGATCTTTACCTAAGGAAAACAACTGAATAATACGTCTGCATTGGCAATACGTATAATGTCAACCGCGCACTAACGCACCATTCATCATCGTCGTCGCCGGAACTGTCGGCGTCATCTGAATCCCGTACCGCCTCTTTTCGGCCCTTTTCAAGTTGATGTTGATTCGACGCCTCTAGAATATTCAATCTTACTTTGGCTCCGAAATCAACAAGTGTAGCATCGTCGTTTTGTTCGCCTGCATATAAGGACCAAGGATCAACGATCGCAGAAGACTTCATTGCCTCGTACCTGTGCGCCTTTTCCTCTAAGCGGCGCCTGCCGGAACACGCAGATAAAGCATTGTACTAACGCATTGTATACTTATTGTAGTAAAACGATATATAGCTAATACAGAAATTAGGCAGCTAATTTTTAGAAAAAAAATGGAATCGCTCTCAACAGTGCCGTAAAACGAAGTAGAATAAAGCAAAGGTTTTGTTATAAGGGATAACTTAATTCCATTGTTTTTCCTGTCCTCACCGGAAATCTGCCTTCACAAATTTGACAAAAGCGACATTTAAACTTCAAAATATCTCGAAGCAGATTATTTTAGTGCCCGTTATTTTAAATGACAACATTACCGAGATCGGAAAGCGTAACTCACAAAACCAAGGTCAAAGTTATGAAGCTCAGAAAAAGAGGGACGCTCGCTTCTAACGATTTTTTTAATTTCGATAAAAAACATTGCGAATTTTTCAAGTCGTTCGTGTACTTTGGACTGGTCGTGACGTCAACAGACAATTCGTTCGCAGATTATGTCGCAGAGAGGCTTCAAAAAGTGACGCTAGTTGCAAGTATTATCGAAAAGCCGCAGAAGTTTTCTTTCATAATTGCGGTTAAATTATTTGTTTTAAGTATCGCAACGAGCGTCTCATACGGAATACCAATAATCTAAATAAGAAACTAATCCTCCAATATCTTACAGGACTGAATAAAATCAAGGAAGCGCTCTTAAGGTTGGTTCTGGGACTGCGTTCGTCAATCTAAAATCGCTCAGTGTACCTAATGACAAAAACTTCGCCGTTTCCGTGGAACTTTATAAATAATTCTCTAATCCTTTTTCCCAAGTGCTAGCTTATCACGCCTTTACTGCAATATATGCACAGAAAGCGCTAGAAATAAATCCCGCATTCTATAGGATCCCTGTAGTGACCATGGAGAAGCGGACGCGCTCAAACACTCAACGAATTAAGAGATATTCAATAATCAGATTTGTTGCCCATAGGTTTCGTCACTTGGTGTGCATGACGCAAAAGTTACACGGCGCGCGTGGTACCTATGTTGTCAATACCATGCCGATAAATGTATGAAATTCGACCTTTTAAGCTCAAATATCCTATTTTTGATATATATATATATTACATCCACAGATATAACTGACAGACTTCGTTTAAGATAAAGAACAAATTAAAAATATCACTTGCCTTGATTCCCTCAGCGCATTCTCTTCCTCGCTGTCGATATCATCTTCTAGGGGTGGAGGATCAGTAATTTTTGTCTTGCTCTTCTTCTCCTTCGGAACTCGCTGTTCTACGCGAAACCCCCCTTTACGAACTGTATTCTCCGATATCTTACATCATAATAACATGGTTGGAATGACTATTGTACTTAAATGACCAAATAAATCCATGCCGATATTTCACATATCCCTAATGACAGATACTAAATGCTGTGCCGTTTATTATTAATCGTCACTTATGCTCCTGAAATTTTGGCTTGTATACATTTTTACACTGTCTAGTGAATGGAATATTTTTTCATAGCCTTCAAAGTTAACTCCATGCGGTACACAATAAAAGAGAACCTAACAGTTCAGGGTTCGAACCAATGGTAGGTTGGATAAAATATCTCAACTAAAATCTATATTTTTTTTTTAAAAGGAAATGAGATGCCTGCGAAAAACTATCCCGATAGAGAGTCGTGTCTCACTTGTCCGTTGCTCGCTGAAAAAACTGTTTCTAATTGATCTTGCTTTTTACGGTCTTGTCCTCAGAAATAATTTCATTATTTAGAAATGACCTCTACTTCTAGCAAATTCTAGCTTTAAATTTTTTTTCGTCCTTTTAGCACAACTCTGTAGTTACATCTTAGATGTGCGTGAAATTACGGATGTCAATGAAGACTCAATATAATGATTCGTTTATAATACATGAATTCATGCGCCTTAACAGCTTTGAAACACGATTCGTCTAATAATATGGCCGTAATTAAAGACTATAAGACTGAACAAATGTATTGCATATTGACGTAACGACTCTTTTTTCTCGTAAAACAACACGTTCTAACGGGGCTCAAATACACAGCTCCAGCGAACAGATTAATAGTAAAAACATATTTATTTTAATTAAAAGGATTAATATTAAAAAGGAAAAACCTATAATAAAGTAATTTATGTGGCTCCTCACTTGAGTTATTTGACTCTTCGTCGCAAGCGAAAAGGGGACCACAGAAACAAAATAGTGTCCAGAATTTCAGTTATATAATACACCCAACCAGACCTTTTCAGCATTTTGGCGACTTTTCGCCTCAGCTTGGTTTCGCTTACGCAAAAGTTCAGCCTTCAAGTCGATAATCTGTAAACCAAAAAAAAAAGAATGATTTCTTGTCTACCAAATGTAAATCCATAAAGTATTTAATTCAGTATTCCATAACGTTCATCGTCTGACCTTCACTACAGATCCCGAGTTTCTAGACAACGTAATATCGTCAGACCCATCAATAAGGTTGTCAATTCGAGTTTACCTATACGAAAAAATACGATCACCGTATAAACAAAGTAATGAACTTTAATTAAATATATTCGTACATGGAATATCGATATGCGTCTCTTTACTTTTGATAAAATAAAAAAAAATGATGAACACAAATTCAGAGTTTTTAAAGACGACTTACCGCAGACGAACCGGAACCCAAGCTCATTCTGTTGACCGATATTTGAACTCCCGCTGAAAACAGTACTTATGGATTCGATTCCAATGGCTGACGTAATAATAGGTACGTTAAAACAAGTAAATTATTTGGTTTAATATTTCAGCTCAAATAAATGTACTTATTGATTAATGCTGTATTGGCATTACCTGATATTATTTCAAAGTTAGTTTGTGTTCCTGTGGGAAAGAGAATTCAGCTTAAGCTACTATCGAGTGCACGATAGCAGTACCTATTTCTTTTCAAGGAGTAGAACATATTGTTATGTCCTAGACAACGAGAGAGGATAGTGCTTAATAGAGTGGTGCTTGCGTAAACCGAAGTCCAGAACATGTTTCGTTATTAAAACAAACACGACTAATTTCAGACAGATTACTTCAAGCACAAAATATATATGTATTCTGTGCAGTATATAACTCACAAACTGCAGATTACTATAATGCTCAAGCCATTCTCTGTCGAATTTCACAAATGCACAGAAACGTAATAATAACATTTCATTACCAATGAAAAATGACAATGAAAAGTAGGAAGTGAAGTTCGATTTGACATAAAAAGCGACTCTTGTCCAATCTCACATTTCAAACAGTAATATTTACACCTCCTAGATTATAAACCAAACATGGTCCATTTCTTGAATGTGTCCCGTATCGGATACCCGCCTGATACATGTGTGAGAATACCAGCGGAAACAGCGCGAACAATTTACATAGTGACACGACTCAAGGAAGCTGTCGTTTAATATATAACGTTGTAACGGCTGGCAAATAATAGGCCATAAAGCTGATGATAAACAGAGATGACTGAGGGCATTAATGCAATTAGAGCGGCTCAAGGAGCAACTACCAAAGATGATGTTCTTGCTTAGAAGCTTAATAGTTCTAATAATGGCTATGCTAAGAAATACATTTTTTGTTTTAAAGCACAATTTGTTGCTGCTTGCTCCAGGCTTTTATGTACGTAAAAACTGCATAATATAATGGTTTGCACTATAATCGCTATACGCATTGAATAATAATTATTGCATAACATATGACGGAATCAATCTTAATCGTTGAAATAGGCTATTTCATATTATTTCTGAAGCCAGGTGAGCATTGACAAACGTATAGTTCTTTTCCAGTTGCCATTATTTTTGGAAGAGCGGCCAAGCCAATACTTTAGTGCATAAGTCACGCAGTCGATGCCAAGTGTCTGTCCATGGTATTAGTAAGGTACTATGATCCACATAAAATTAATGGTATTAAGGGTATGTCTTATTAATTAGAATAGTTTAATAAAGATGTCGAGATCTTTGGATAGCAGACAGTTACTTCTTCTCATAACAAGTTAAGTTTGCTAGCATATCAGATTTAATTCGGTTTATTTTCACACAGAGACAGGATTTTATTTTCTTTATTTATAGACCAACCGGAGCCTTTGCTCAAGAAATTTAGGGCGGAGTAACAGGTTCGCGTAGTACTCATTCGTGATTTCCTCGTCGATTTGACAGGTTAGGATTACACACGTTGATTCTCAAATCTGATGTGTTCTCCATAATCAAGTTGTCAAACCTTAAAATATCTCACAGCCACCAATTCTCGCGACCGTTAAACACTGCTATAAAAGGTGCTATGAAATGCGCGTATTTCCGTTTCGTAATCAGCCATTCTTGAAAGCTGTCTTCTTCTGGCGGGCACTGACAACTTTTCAATATAGTTCTTCCTTTATTATCTAATAGATAGGCTTTCACCATTTGCTGGCAAGATGTACGTTGGGTTTTTCAATGGACATGTACGAATGTGAAGTATAGATTGCATGGGCAATCACTCACAACAAAATAACTGGAAGCTCCTTTAACAAGTTTATAATTCGATCCAGAACTTTAAATACGAGTTTTTTTTTTGTATGTTTATATAAAATTAGAAATACTTGGTGCACAGTGATTGTCAAGGACTCCAGGAGTCATTTTGATTTATTTGCTTACGACAACTGCTTCATATTTTGTGCACTGTCTAAATGATAGTCGTTGTTGATGAGTCTAAGTAAGGTCCTATCTAGTGTGTATATAACCTCCTTCAAACTGCTTGAATTAGTTGCGTAGGGTTATACCCGATTGTGTGGCTCTGAAAGATTTCAGTCTACTTAATTTTTTTCTGGGTGCAGCCAATTTTTTCCAATCCATATTCTTAATAGGTCTGTGGACTTTCCGTTTAGCGGGCATTTCAAAGCGCTAGTTTAATAAATTCCGCGAATTCTGAATTTAATTTTTTTTAATAATAAGATAAATTTATGGACTCTGAACTATTCAGCAACGAAGCACTCTATTATACAATGATTATTTACGCCTCATTTTAATTTTAAATCGAAGGTTGGGTATGATCACCACTCTGAGATTGTAAGCGTATGTAGCGATTAGAATTACAAAATAGAACTAAATTCAGCAGGGATTCATTACGTTTAGAAGCAGGCAAGGTAAACGTGTAAACATAAGGCTTCTATTTTATATATGGTGGTATAATGTTTTAATGTCTAGGATCAAGTATAGGAAGCAGCATAGGTCCTAAACATGAGTCTGAGAAAACGTAGAAGAGCTTACTGCGGAACTATGGTAAGCATTTCTATTTACATTAAATGTCTTAATTTTCAAATACTTTTTTTATCCAGTTACATATGCGGCGCTCAATGTAGAAAAAGCAAAGTTTGTTGTTGTGCTTATCTACCTTGAAGGCTTTTGTAAGATCGAAATATATACAATTGAACTTCCTTTTTTTCTAAAGCCCAGTCTACAATTCTAGAGATTAATTACTTGGTTGTTGACCTCAATTTGGCAAAACCATGCAAATCTCCCTCTAGAGGTTTGTCACCGGAGAAAAAGTCTCTAAGATGGTCAATAGCCGGTTCTCATAAAAAAGAAGGTAATACGTGCTATGCATCCTTGCTCAGTGGGACGATAGTTATTGACATCAGATTTGGATAATTGTTCTAACAATCCAAGTTAATCAAAAACCATTAGGTTTTAATATATTGTCAAGTCAAGAAACCCAAACACTCTCCAAATAGTTTTTTACAAGTGCGTTCATCTGATACTGGTAGCACCAAAGGGAAACTCGTTTCAAGGAAGATTTAAACAAACCCGTACTTGTGGCAAAAAACGTGCTTCGAGCAGCTTTTATTCCAGAACAAACAGAAGTGATTTGAAACCCAGCTCAATGAAAAATCCGTGAGAGACAAATACGATTGATGCCGTTGAAAAGTGCATTTCTAATAATCGTTGTATTTCGATCAGATCATTGGTGAAGAAAATTCATGTGAATAGGGCTACGATTTCGTGGATTGTTTGCGGAGACTTTAGATAAATGTCATAGGTCATACAAGTCAAACAGATGCTCTTTACAGTCAATAAAACCAAATATTCCATTAGTGTCATCTGCTCCATTTCTCTCAAGGGTGAAACTCAAGATAAAAAGAATAATTACGCTCAATACGAAAATAGACCATAAAAATGACCGCTGGCTCGTTAACAATCCAAAAAATGTGCCTATTGTGAAGAAAAGCAATTTTCACGTGGCATATAGGAGTTCTAAGTGTGATTCCAAATAAAGAAAAATGTCATATTACCATACTTCTTTTAGAAAAGCGAAGCCTTTGTCAAAAAGGTTTATCTGCGTTTTCTACGAACTGTTGTGCTACCGTAGATAGCTAAAATGCTTAGAGCAAGGTCGCACGTCTTTAAGAGGAATAAAGTACCGATTTGTTCAGAACTGGCTGGACGTGCTTTGGAACTAATATGGCCGCATACCAGATTTTAAGCCGTTGCAATACGATGCATGGTGTGTTATAGAGCGAGGGTCCAACAAGTCTCGACACGACAGCATCTATGTGTGCACTCATTCTATTAACAAGGCGTCCGCACATTTGCAAATGAAGTACTAAATTGAGGTCGCATCGCGGTGCATAAAGGTTACATTGGATGAACATGACGGTCAGGAACGACACTTTTAACACATGCAAGAAAATCATTAACATATCTATTTTCGCCTTGATACAGTTTGTAAAACCAAGCATAAGAATTTGGATTTGAATTGACTCTTCTGTATATATGAGTCGTTTATTTTTTTTTAAGAATTTTTGAGCATTTCTAATTTTTAATACAGTTAGGCCATTAATATCTGCTTACAAACTATAACATTGCTCTTCATATTTTTTCTATCTATGTTGCAATTGCTCACTATCGGTACTCCGCAATAGGCGCTCTTATCTATAGCACGGTCAACATTATAAGCTGTTGAAACATTATTGTTTTTTCTAGCTAGATAGCCTTAAAGTTACATATTTCAAGTGATATGGCTAGACGTTGATGTCATTTGAAAGCTGAGATCTGACAGTGGTAAAATTCTTGCAATGTCTGTATTCAGACTCAGATAGAACGCCTTGAAGATAAGTGAATTTTTTTACCAAAAATTGTGCTATTTATTTTCAGGATGCGTTGTTAGAAGAAATAGTCTAATGATGGCGCTGTCGTTTTCGATCTGCAAATTTCGACGTGAAAGATACTCTTCGTAGTGGTCGACCAATTACGGACAAAGCTGATGAAATTTTTGCGAGAATTAAGCAAGATTGACACACAAATAGCTATGCTATCGCCAAGTAACTAAATATTTACCATTAAACAGTTTTAAACCGTTTGAACGAAGCTGGCTACGAAAAAAGCTCGATGTTTAGGTCAAATAGACGAAAAAATAGTTGATCGTGTTCTCGTTTGCGAAACCCCATAGAAACGCAACGAAATCGAGACATCTAGAAAACAACTGATCACCGGTGGTGAAAAGTGAATTATATACGAAGAAGATGTGCAAATAAAAAAAATTTTCCACATTTTGTGGCAGGTTCCAGACTGATACAGAAGGAGTTGATGCTACATTTTTAGTGAAATTGGAAAGGAAATGTGTCCGTCAGCTGCTGCTGCCTGGAACAATAATTGATTCGAATTTTTAACATCAACAGTTAACGTGATTACATCAAACCATTGAAAGAGAATCGACCGAAACCAATGAGCAAAAAGCCTCCGCTATGATAATGTTAGGTTATATACATCTTTACCTATTCAGCAAAAACTAAGAGAATTTGGATAGGAAATTTTAAAGCATCCGCCGTATAGCTTTGACCTATCTACTTTGATCTCACCATAACTTCGTTGATGGTTTTAATTTAGTCTCTATGTACGAATGCAAAAACTACTTGTCACAACTTCTCGCCTTAAAAATCATAGCAGTCCTGCAGTGATGAAGTTATATTGTTATTATAATATGGCAAAAGGTTGCCATCCAGTAAAATTTAAGAAGATTGTTTTAAGCTAAATGAAGTATCTGGTTAATTTTGGCTTTAAAACGGCCTACACTATTTCGACAAACCAATGTTATGGGTGACTGGTAAAACGCTTATTCACCGTTATTAACTTGCAAACTATCACCGAACTAAAAACGGTCCAGTTGACCGGTACTGGTAGGCGTAAGGAAAGGCGCTTTTTGCGTGATTTGCATCTGCTAATTTTATTAGCTAAAACTGGCATCGCCAACGGTTAAGGTTTTAAAAAAGTTTTGCGCGGCTATTAAGTTTTTAATATCGTTAAAAATTTTTTGAAAAATCATTTCCTGTGGGTTGGCTCCGTCTAGGTAAGCAACATCTTTTACGTTTTCTTGAACATAAGATAAGTAATTTAAGTATTCCGGATAAATGCATGCATCGAAATATCCAGGTGGATCCGAAGGCTGATATGTACGTCCTAAAAAGGTATTGCATTCAACAACAAAAGCAGAAATGATGTTGTTAATGATTTGATATTGTATAGAAAGTTATTATTTACTTGATATTAAAATATCATCATTCAGCTGTCTGAATGTGTTTGAAAGAATTCGGATCTTGCCCATCTGAGGCCGATTCGCTTCAAGATAATCTTACAATCATTATACTATTGCGACACTTTCAGATATTTGCATATTTTCGCTTCAACTTACTGTTTCGTCGTTCTCTGCACTGTTCCTTAGAAAGAGTTAGGAAGTATTTTTTGTCGCACCACACGACGAGCTCAGGATCGGAGAAGAGCAGATGACCCTCGAGTAGGAGAATACGATAAGGTAGACCGCTTGCAGATGCGGTAAGCAATCGAACCTATTAGCGCGTATTAACAGACAATGATATTGCTACCGCGTGTTCACTACAGAAATCATATTCCACGAGTGTATAAAGTTAAAATACGTTTATTCAATTTTGCGAGCAAGCGGCCTGTATATATATATATATATATAGCTAATATAAAATTACAATAGAAATTACACTGATAGCTATCTCAGAGCATTGACCTCTTTTTTGAACAAGTTAAAATTTATTGCGGACGGCAGTTCCCAGTTCTGATGCCGAAAAGTATCGGTTTCAAGCCATTGGTGTCTTGGGTCATCTTCACTAATGAAAAACGTGTCCTGGCGTAAAAAGCGCGCTTCCGGTAATTCCTATAATTAAATAATTATTGCTAAATAAAGAGGAAATTAATCTCATCAGACTTATTAAACGTATAATATATACAAAAATGAACAAACAAATTATTTTTTTAATTGTTTATCGAGTTGTTACGCTTGTATGCATACATTTGACAGAGCTTAAAATTGTATTATAAATCAGCGCTTTTTCAATTTTCTTTCAACTAAATTTACATTATTATTTCTATTTGTAATCGCATATTTCAGTTAACCGTTGGACTCACGTGCCGAAGTCGTTCTACCAGGGTTGTCTTCCCAGCATTGGTTGTTCCACTCACACCAATTACTAGAAAACTGTCACCTACGACCATCCTGCGTACACTCAATAGATTCGCTTGAAAAATAAACTATTTTCAATCACTTGTTAGATACACGTTTCATTCCAGATTCGATGATAAATTCCTTATTTTGAAAAACCTACGATTTATTTTTAATGTTAACAATTTTTCCTAAGGCTAAAGGATCGATTCGGCTTTTTGTGTTCAGTGGGCCTGATCGCCATTATTCAAGCGTATATGTTTGACGTACTTGTAGAAAAGCATAAAGTATCACTTGAAATTACATGAAAAATAAAAATATCGAGGTTCGAAATGGTTAAAGATACGCGGACGATTTTGATATTTTGGGATTCTCGAAACGTATTTCAATTGTGAATGCACCAACAGAACACGACATCGCACCTTAATCGTAACGGTGATTTAACTTTTTTGTGTGATTTATTACCCTAAGCTGCAAGATGCACCGGTTATACAATTCCCTACTTAACACTGGTGGTAAACACTTAACTTCGAGGCATTACATAGCTACAAGGTCAACCCCAAGGCATTGCATAATCTTCGAACAGATGACTAGTATATAGTGACACCAGGGTGCACTGAGAGCGATTTTCGAATTATCAAATGGCGGGAAAACGTGGACATGCTGAGCACGCTGCCTCTCTTTTAGAGAAGGCCAAATTTCTGTATGAACAGATTAAATTAAAATTGGGGAAATGTTAATAAAATAATATTTCGTATACTAATATTTCGTTTTCTTCAAAATTGGCGACGGTTATTTAACGCTGTTATAACTCAACTTGGAAAAATGCTATTTTCAGTTATTTGAGTCTTTGCGAGTAATTAGTTTCGCTACCTCTCTGTGTCATCACACAGTGGTCCAAATTGCAGAATAAATGTGCGTGATACTAATGATTTCACCAGAGTTCAGCAATATTAATCGGGCAGAAACCGAACTTATCGAAACTTAATTAAAATCTGTATTATAATTAAAAACGTTTGAAAAATCTAGGAGTCAAACCTTATGCAATTTAAACACATAAAAATAACGTTGCTTCCTATTCTAATAAGGGCATTTTCTTCTCTAGCGAGCATTAGAGCGAGCATATCTGTGACTTTGTACGGAGTGGGGATCAAATAGTACAATAATTTGTAAATATGTGCTTGACTGGAACAGTTTTTTTTCAATGTTTACTCTTATAGTGCCTGATGGAATTAAATACAGACGGTTGTAACAAGCCAAGTCTTCTGAGAGACAGTGTTCAGCTTCATTAATACGCGTTAGTGGAGCAGATTGCCAAGGAAGGCGAAACAGGCAGGTACCCGCCCAAAAGGTGCGGCGTACTTACCGATATTTTACATCAAAATCGCATGAAGATTTTTTGAAATATTAATTATGCCGAGTAATTCTGAAATCACTTAAAAACGATTTGAAGTTATAGTTCCTACCGTCAAATGTTTTTTTATATGTTCTTCTTTGGTATCATAGATGTCTTCCGTGTCTTAGCGCTGTTCCATTCTATGCGCGCTTTCTGTTAAAATATAGAATACAATACAGTTCACGTACGTGCTTTCACTTTGGATCTGAAACCGGCTTCTAGATAGTATCTTGCAAAGGCATAGCGGCGTTCAGAGATTGAGTCTACGTATAAATAGATTATTTCTAGTTCAGTGATTTTATTGAAGCGGCGGAAGTCACGGAAGCGCTTCGTATATTAGGCAAAGCTAATTTATAGTAACTTTAAAAGGGAAATTCTAAGAGAACACAGAAAGGTGAACGTCTCTCAAGTAACATTTGATTTTTCTACTGAAAAGTGTAAATAAAATGACATAATTTAGAAAAAGACGGAACAGGGTAAACAAGGTACAGAATCGTAATAGAGTGCTCATTACGATAACAAAGATGTTTTAGAATCCAAATATCAGCTTAACGCTCAATAACATCGTACACTCTGCCAAAGTAGCAGGTTTCACAATTGAATTTCTGGTTCACTACATAATGCCTTAAGGTTAAAACATAGGTATTTTCCGTTTCTCATCAAACAAAAAATGCAACGTAAAAATTCTAGCAAAACAAACTTATTATAATATGTGCTTGCCGTCACTCTTGACGACCTTCTCCAGTCTCTCAACCATGTGTCAACCAAATGTGTAGTATTCATGCCTCTGAAGTTAATAGGTCCAGCCAGACTTTACGGCCCACTTTACTGTTGAATGTGCTATTATTAATATCAATGACAGTGACTGAAAGAGTGACAAGTTGTCGATGCAAAGTCTGGAGAATATGGCTAGTGCAAGAGGGCTACCCACTGTTATGCTCTTGGGATCACTTCCGTAGGTTTTATGATGGAGAAGAACGGGTTTGTTTGTTCTATTGGATCTGCTGCACCTCGCTGGGCTATATACAAACCTGCATGTCATGTCGATTCTCCAGAGCATCGAAATTTCAAAAACGGGAGCAGTTACAAGACATCGACTGCACAAATTCGTGAAGATTGGGTTTATGTAGTTACTTGATATTCCCGCAAATTTCCGTAGATCTCATTGGTCAGAACGCACCTAGGGGGTTAGTTGAGTCATCGCCGAGTGTATTATCGTAGCACTCGAGCTACTGAATACATTTTCGCTAGCCCTCCCTCGAATAGCATTTTCTCGAATATTTGAAAACGATCTAATGAACTACGCCAAAAGTCAGAATTATCTGTGTTTGCCCATGCGTGCTAAACGTCACAGATCTACCCGTTACATATATGCCCGAGCATTTAATTTGACAAATGCGCTTACTTACATAAAGATTAAAAAGTTTTAATAGGTAAAAAAAAGTTTAAGTAGATATAGAAAAATTGAAAATTTTGAATTTTATCTATTGAAAAAATAGTAAATCCTTTCCTAGCAGTAAATAGGAAACCTCGACTCCCAACTGTAGTGAGTTGCTTCTTCGGTGTATACCGTACTTGCGTTTAAGTTAATCTCATAGTTTTGTTAGATGAACATTACAGAGTACGACAAAAACAATGGTGGCCCGATTTGAGTATGCTTTCCTAGTATGCCTCAAAACGGAATTCATCGTCTTCGTGTTCAGTTTACTTAACTATAAAAGAATGGCAATGGAAAGGTGGTTTCCTCGGTAGATGTCTGAATCTTATGCAGCCTTAACTTTCTAAAACATGCATCAGTTGACAGGAGTGTTCGGCGAGTGCAAAACTCACAATATCATTGTATCGACTTGATTTATAAGTTCTATTAAACCGTTTAATACGATGGGGCATGTCATAAGTACTACAAGCACATAACTTCCGTAAAGTAGAAACAATCGAATGATTGGACATACAGAATACGGTACGGACAAACTGCATGCTATCACTTCATCTAGACTGTACTTCATGAGCTAGCTCTTCAAAGTAGTCAAGTAACAGGAAAAACTCATGGATGGAAAACACGATTTCGTAAGGACTTCTCTTCAAGAAGCTACATCATGAGAGTGTATTTTTTAATGTCAAAAGGGTAGCGTAAGCATATAATTCGTCGGTTTAAAGCATCGCTTGTTTTTTCCCTCACCTATTTATTATAAACCGATGCAGTGCTTAATGTGTAGCGTTGTTCTCGGATTTATCTGCCACCAATAGGGTTTGACCTAAACAACTTAATTTATTACCTTTCAATATGTATAAGAGCATTTTGGATTCGGTCATTGATGCAATAGCCAGTGAAAGTCACTCCTGCAAAACGGTTTACAGCAGTGAGCAAGTAGCTCAAGACCAACCAAATCTAGTCGCGATTAAGTAAAATTTGCAGTTTTTACGATATAAGCACAGATTGGAAATTAATTTCTTGACAATAAGGCATTTTTAGGGCTGCATAAAATCGCAAGCAGATCACTTCATAATCGAAGTGTCTATCCTTAATTAGAAGCAAACGTCGAAGGAGCGTATCCGCGCCAACATCGGGTCGCTGGTGCAAGATACCTGCATATAGTAATTCTATCATTGCGATAGTAATTGCAGTGTGCATGCCCAGTGTGGGCATCGCAGTTATTATATGCAAATTATAAAATTTGTACAATTTCGTTACTTTAGTGCATTGACGCATTGAAGAGCATCTGACTACTAAACGTACATAACACTAACAGCCCATCTCAAGTTAGGGCAGCTCAGGTTATTGTGATGCTATGGATAGAGTAAAACGTGTGTGTCCGTCTCAATTGTGAGAAAAAGGTTCGTGTCAGAAACTGAAAAAAAATTTATCCAATAGATATGAATGAGCTTAATCTCTACAAATATTTTAGATTTTTCGACGAACGATTAGAATGAAACAAAGCTCGAGGTTCAGGGTAGTTTTGAATAAATTTTACAAAGGCGTAAATCTACCAGTATGGTCCGGTAAGAAGCACATAACCCTGCTGACTGGATAGCATAGGGTCGCCAGGCCTAGGCCAAAAGGTCACATGCAGCACATATGAGCTTATGAATAAAGATGAAATAGGCAATAAAACAGAGTTTCTTTAATTTAAAACATAGTTCATTTACGGGCATTGATAATGCGCGCAGGTAAAATTGAAGCGCGTAGAGAAGTTCTGAAGAACAGGTCGGGAAGGTCGAAGCTTTATTGAGGCCGTGTGAGCTTGGACACAGCAAATAGTAGTATAAATCCATAAAGCTGTATGGTGACGAAGTAACAATCTGGATTGAGCGGTTCTCTTCTCTGTAGCATTTTTTACGGCATATTGTCGATTTGGTAAAGAGGGTTAACCGACGCAAAGCTGCACGCTATAAAAACTTCACGAAAAAAAGGCGCCTGTTCTTAGTTTGAGCGGTTGAACTTATTCGCATGATCCATAAAATAATCACGAGATCATTGAATCCCTGTGACATCATAAACCTTAATCAAAACATATTTTCATAAAAAGCTCGACAATGTTGTATATGTTACCTTATTTTGCTCCGTAGACAAGCTGAACATAATGGTATTAGATTTGCAAAGATACCGAAAACGAATTCCTCCGGAAATACCATACATTATCTAGAGAAATGCAAGGTTTTTTCATCCTTACAGAAACGGTCTATGATCTGGCGGTAAACTATAATCTGCTTTTAAATCAATCCGATTACAAAAAAATTGTGAGTAGCCTGTGTACGTATTGCGAGTACATCCTCGAATGTACTAATCATCCAACGTTACTTCGGTAGGCAATGGGTATGTGCAGATATGCCGGAGCATAAACGAAACGCCTTCCATTGAAGATGAAGAACAATAGACTGAATTTATAATGATAATATTATTCCACTTGTTCAAGGTCAACTGGAAGATCTAGCGAACACAAACTGAGCGTCATAAAGGACTACTCCCACTACATCTGATTATCGAATCTGTACTTATCATTTAGGCGTATCTTTGAGATTATAGAGTTCACGTATCAAGGCCCTGTACAAAGCTCCTAGCAACGAGCTAAGGTGCTGACATCGTGCTAGACAGGCTTTGCTGCGTTCCGGATTAAATCAGGAAGCACTCCGCTAGTGGATAGTTGTCGGTACATGTCGGCACAACAGTTCGAATACGGGGGAAGGTGTCAGGTCGTACTATTGTGGTCACTAGAAGGTTATTTGGCTAACAGACTTACCAACTATCGCCAAATGTGAGCAGGCTTTTGACTAATACCAAAATATTTTTGAGTGACGTTTAGACCTTTACTAATATCTAATTACTGATATAGCCATGTTTCTACGAAGTGGCCAATAATATGCAAGATATCTTTTATAAGAACAATAATAATGGACATAAATGGAAATCTTTCAAATTTCCTGGGCACTAAGTAAGTTCTGCAAGGCTGAACACTCTAATTCGGCAGTTTTCTTTTATTCGAAGATCACTGACTTCCTTTCCCAGTAATAACAGACTTATCGCACAATTGCAGATGGTTGGTTTTCGAAATATTATGTTCCGATAATTAGGGAAAATAGGGTTGAAGCCTACAATAATTTTTCTGATGATTTCAAAAGTGGCGCATTTTTCCCAAATACGTTCAATTTAGAAGATCTGTTTATTTGTGGAGGGCTGTCTACTGGTACTGAATTGATATAGGTTTTTCTAAGATAAACTTAACTTTGGTTAGAATTTTACTTAGAAGGGACGTAATGCTATATTTATATAGAGTTCTAGAAGCACTGGGTGACTGCTTCCATGTCTGGCTCAGCATCTACGGTTCTCAACGGTGAGGTGGACTAGAAAAGTAACAAGTGTTCTTATATTAGCAATTGCCTCGCATAGGTTAACAGCACCGAATTAATCTATAAAGTCGGTGCTGTTAACCTATGCGAGGCAATTGCTAATAATATAAAGTCCTTATATAGAATTCTAAACAACAAAAAAAAAAAGACTTTTTCGATAGAAATGTATGCTCATCCAATACCAATTGATGATCCTCTAAACAGTATAAACAAACGTGATTGTTCATTGCCTTTCAGTATCTTACCCAGAACTGGGCAACGCGCAGTTCGTAATTATCAATTAAGAGGTATTACGGTTGACGAGAAATAGTGTATCGATGATAATTCCAGGAAGCGTACAGGATATATATATATAAGTTAAACAAAATTAAGCTAGATCTCTATAGGAAGAAATAATTTCGAAAAACAGACGAGAAGAAATAGGCAAGTTCATTGCGAAATGAAAGAAGGTTGTGGAAAGTCGCAGCGAATATAAACAACTTAGCATTTTCAAAATATTGGTAAGTAACTGAGTTAAAATTAAGTTTTAAATCTGTACAACGGAGCATTGGCGGCACAAAGCCTACTATCTGGATGCCTTCAGAAGCTGTTCGAAAGAAATAATCAGCCTTACTGGATTTTAGTGTAGGCAAGTGGGCTTCTCCTGTGTGTCAGTAAACCTTTGGTAGAGTTACGTGCATTATTCCATCAGCATGAGTTCGATCGAAATTGTGTACCTGGCATGAACTGCCATACTTTTCGATGACTTGCATAGTTCTTACAGGTGGAAGGCGTATATCGTTGAAAACTCTTCCAATTCACCATTCAGGCAAACCTCGTAGGCTATCGTGCAATGTTCATCGGTCGCGCACCAGACTCAAACGGGCATCGTCTAACTACAGCTCCTTGGTCAGGCAAGATTTTATCTACTCTATGTAGATGCGATCCTATTTAAAAAAAACCTAAGAATACATTGCGGCTTTAGGCCTCTATAGCCTACTATATCGCTTAGCACTTGAGCAGCTACCTATTGCGAACGTTAGGCGTTCAACCTAACTTAACCGAAAGCTGTGAGGTTTACCTTAGTTTCTTTTAGGCGAATGAGACAGACTTAGGATGCCTATCGTGTACTAATAAAACGCTTTGTAAAAGTGCACCACTAATTATACCTATAAGTTTAAAAGAACGTAGATATTGTATTCTTCTGAAAATGACTGAAGCGGGCTTCTTGAGAAGTTTTTACGTTTCCGTTAGTGGGAGTATTGTCTAGAGATGTTCTCCAAACCAAACGCAATTGCGACTGTTGCAGCTTTACAAAAGTATCTAGCGCATTAGCGAAATAGCGCATTTCATTCAAAATTTTTCTCAGCTTTAAGTAGCCTTAAGACAGACAGAGTAGTATGTTGTCTGATTAGTTAACTTTGTAATCACGCAACGCTGCACATAATTAAGTGAAATGATAATAAAATTGAGGTACATATTATATAATGACGTTCGCTTGCGGCAGTTGCTATCGATATGAATAGATCTGGATTTTTTTCAAAAATTAAGCTAGTAAAAATCGAAGAAAAAACACAAACAGGTTAGTACGTCGTTTTGCAAGTGCGTACCGTTTTTACAGTAAAAAAAAATGTGACTGCTGTGAACTTACCAACAATAGCCAAGAGGGTGTACTTAAAATGGGTGCACATAATTGCAGGACGGACTTAGTCGTCTTTACTAAACTGTCGATGTTGGCAAATAGTATCTAATAAAATACAACAAGCCTCTGATTAGGAATAGAGACCGAAAAGGGCACGTGTCATAATTTCGATTTAGTCGATCCGTACGCATCGATGCTCCGGTCAATTGCCTTTACTGTACTACGTGTTATTTACTAGCGTCGTCATTTTTTCGTAGTAGTAACAGTAACAGGTATGATTTGGCAGATACGAGAGAGGAAGTGACTCTCGCCTGCTGTTATCTAAACATATGTCTTAACTCTACGAGGCGTATGCAGCTAGTTCAAGTAACTCTTTCAAAACTTAACAAAGCGATAAAATATAAAGACATATTTAGCAGGCGAAGGTAAGATCATTCTCAATATATCTGGGCAATAAAATTTCGTCCAAGTGAAACGGCTTCACTCTGGGCATTTACATACGAATATTTGAAAACGACGAACTATTAGGCCATTGAAATTAACTGTTGGTAGAAGGGCTTCGTTTTGGCACCTTTATTACCTATAGAAAAAAGAACCATGCTATTACCATCTTTCGGTAGTTCAGTCTTTTCAGATATTAGGAAAATATCGCTGTACATAAACGCATGTTTTGTATGAGTACAGTTTCTCAGTGGTCTATTGTGTAAAGCTAAACTGTACCGCCAGATTGATTTCCAAGCACCTGTTGGATGCATTGGCGCATCGATCGATCTTCGAAGAACAATCATGTTCTTCTGTAAACTGAAATCTTACGGAGAACTGGATCTTTATATTAATTATATTTTTCGTAGATTTTATATAATTCTACGGCTCATATATTACTGGTTGCATGATCGAGCGCGTAATATCTTACGAAGGTTTGTCTAAATAAATGCTTCAAATTGAAGTCGTTCCGTTGAAATTTCTGTATACAGCATTGTGAACGCCGCACGTACGACCTCATCGCTATTTACCACATTGAAAACGCATGTTTGCATGTTCACCATGCATGGCTGGTGACGATTTCGTTATCCTCTCCACTAATCCCCCCTGCTGGCTCCCTGCGTGGGTCCTATTCGTTCTCACTGCGGCAGCAGTAGCAGCGGATTGAGTCGAATATGCGTCTTCTGCCACAAACGCAACAGCAGCAGTGGCGGCTCCCTCCTAACCAGAAAAGGCAAAGCGAAGCCGGTAGGGTCTGTCGACTGGCTTCGTTGGCTTCACGCACACACACAACAGAATACGTACACGCATTTGCGGCACTGCGCGCAGTGTGGGAAGACCACGAACAGAAATTGACTGTCTCTACAGAAGAGCTAAAACACGGCTGTCAGCTAATGTTAACAACACGCGAACTAGCTGGCGACTCTTTCTGCTTCATTTGTTTCGTTCGTATCGTTTTGTGCTTTCGACTGTGCACCCATCCGAATTAGAAACCTACAGGAATATATAGTTTATGCACGGCGCCAGTGTAAGATCGAAGCCATCAGCTATTACACGAAGCATTATGTGCGTTAGCGGAAAATAATTTCGCAAGAAACAGCAATAGTGATAAAACTTGCTCCAAAAAAAATCCAAGTAAGTATACATTTGGCTTCTATATGTCGGTCATATAATATCGGCAAGAAGACACTGGACAGAAGCAGAGCGCGATCACGTTTATTAGCAGGATAAAGTAACTCCGCTAGTATCCAAGTTACGGCTGAGATCGTGGAATCGATGTGAAAAATAAATGGCGCAGTATATTCCATCTTTCGGGAGGGCGCACCTCCCTAGTTCGTCACCATTGCTACAGACGGAAAGCTTCCGATGAGATCTTGTCTCCTAATTGTCTTGCAGTTACGTCTATGCTTTCCTTTCAGTCGTTGCATATTCTTTTTCCAGATCCTTCAGCGGCTATGTGGCATAGTAGTATTCCGGTGAGTTGTGTATATCAAAACACACCGGAAAGGTGGATATTATTGTATCGGATATGGAGTATTAAGCTGAATTTAATTTATGTCTCGCCTTAAGAAAATCAATGTTATCCGAAAAACGTGCATCCTAATCGTTATATCATCAGGTCGGTTCGGGAAAATTAAATCGGTAAACTAGAAGGGCGGGAATAATCTGGAAGGGCAATTAAACCGACAACTAACGTTGATGGGAAAAGTGGCATTTCGGCTACGAGGCCGCTTGAATGTGTGCGACTCTCAATGCGTTTACAAGCAACATACTAATGAATATCATAATAATTGATATTAATTCATTAAGGAACTAAGTATGGGAACGTTTCCAGTACTGACTGTTGTGCTTGCTGTTACTAAAAATTACGTACGATTAATTCCAAGCTTAGCTAAACTATTATCATGACAATCATACCTGACATTATTGTGTCAGGTATCATCAGGTTGTGTCAGGTTCATAGCATCAGTTCTCTCAGTGTAACGGTTTTGCATAACCTTCGGGGACCCGTATACTGCCTAATGATCTCAGGGACGGATAAGACGGTTTAGATGGTTTGAGACCAACACGGCTTCATGCAAAAGAAGGATAACGTAGAGCGAATTGGCTGGTCTTAAACGATCTCTAAAGCAGAAAAGACATAGATGCTATGAAGCCAAGTGAGTTCCGCCGCCCTTTGAGGTTTTCGAGTAATTTCTAGGCCTGACGGCTTTCCCCAGAACCCCCCTCAGTTAGTGGGTAATTATTTTTTGTCCCACTACCTAACCCAACCTAACCTAACCCGCAACAGCACCAGGGGAGTATGTGCATTTCGCTTCATACAAGGTTGTGGATCATTCGCGTAAATGTGCCGGGGTACGCCAGGCAATCCTCTAAACCTCCTTAAAACAAATCGAAACCGGGTAAGGCAAGGTGCGTCTCGTGTGGGATTTGCCTTCCGTTTAAAGTGTTTCCTCGATACAAGATTATCCGGTCGAACTGACACCGAAACATCTTCAACTTCACTTAGATATCTTTTTGTAATTGACACGGTATTTTTTGCTCGGCAAGGCGAGTTTAGCCAGAAACCCCTATATCAGCCATTCAGTGTCCACGACATCATCCTTTCATCATGTTCAGCGCCTTACAAATTCCAGTAAATCCTTAATAAAATTAAGGATAGCTTCCCTTACAAAGCACTGGCAATGAGAAAGACCAGACGCTGATCGAAAATCCGCAAAAACCATTCATAGAGAGGAGAATAAATTGCAGAATATTGCTAAACAATAGCGGCACCAATAGGGTATCACAGTTTACGTTAGTAGGAGGGGTAGATATTACGCATATGTAAATTAGGTACAAAAAAAATGCGTCTATAAACGGATGACGCCAGTTACGCAATGGTCTTCGCTGTCGAATCTTGCTTTTAATAATAACGACCTCTAATTCAAAATATAATAATAATAATAATGTAATAACAGTGAACCAGTAAAACAGAGCAATCGATAATGGGCCTCATATTTAAAAGCCTCGAAGGGTGCAAACGACTGAGGAATTCCTGTCTGTTCCAGGAGAACACCGTGGGCAGAATTCAAAACAAAACGGCAACACAGTTCGTATGTTTGTAAATAACAGTTGCTATAGTTTCCCCATCCAGAGAAAAGTGGAAAACAATAATAATAGTAATCAAGAAGCTGGTCATCATAAATATGAGCGAACGTCGATTTTAGTCAAAAGCTATTTGACTATACGATAGTCTGTTTTGTCATGAATTTTTGAACGAGCGTCCATGTCAGTGGTAAAAAAAAATGCTGACAGGATCGATTAGGAGGCTCGAGGCTGAAGTGCCCATATCATATTCCTGTTTTCGTCATTATTTTCATTGCCCTATTAGGTCGTTTACTTAGTCGTGTATTTATGTGATCGCGTGACTCTATTCTGCCACAAGGTTGATATATATAACTTGTTCCAATGCTATCTGACCCGCGAGCCGTCAAGACACCTCCAAGAACAGCATAAGGCAAACGGTAAAATAATACTGCGATGAGTGTCGAAACGAATAGTCAGCATTAGATGTACGCAGGTCGCCAAACGTTGATTCTGTGCAATGCCTATACCCTGTAAGAGCTCGAACTCAATAACATCATGATTAATGTATACATAGTATGGCATACCCAATACCTATTCACTTGAAGATTCGAAATGACGCTTAACTATGTTGGCCGGTCAGATGCTGCTGCAGAGGTGAGGTAGCCGAGCAATTCAAACATGATTTCAACGAAAAAAACAAACACTTAGAATGCGTACAGAGTGGCCCGAATAACGTTAAATCCGAACATCGAGAAGAGTGAAACAGTGTCATTTCGGCTTCAATAACTGCTATTCTTGTTGCTTGTAATGTTTTGTGTTGTTGTTGTTCTTGTGTATGTGAGTATAACAGTGGCTAGGAGCTGGTGGGACAGAAAGCTGCTCTTGCTTTGGCTGACATTGCCTGGCTGCGCGATGACTCAGAAATTGGCTACCTATGCACTTATCGAGCTGGTGAAAACAAGCGACCGATACGAGCGGAACGGCCAACTAAAGCGACTTATGTTATTCGACATTGGTTTCCTCGTGTAGAGAGAGTGAAAGAGTATCGGACGCTTAGCAACGAGATTGAATCAGCCGCTTTTTACTCGTTTGTGCAGTTCGGTTAGAACTAAGACGTAAACACTTTATGAAGTAGACTGCCTGGAGGGGATATCGCTCTAAGACAAAGATCACAAGCTTACATAGAGACACATAGTCATGGTGCGGCCGAGCCTTCCGAGACCCTTAAGCTATCATGAAGAGTCTCCAGCACGTTACCATTTCAAACCGTTATTTGGTGAACAGTCAATTAATTCCCATGGAGTGTGATGTGCAGCAGAATTTCGAAAGCCTGTAGCGAAGTGACTCATGCCAGCTTTTGTGGTTTCTATGAGAGACATGCTAAGGTCACTGTGTGATGCTTTCTTTGTGCGCTTCGCTACATATGAACTGGACGCTGTTTATGAAATCTGTTTTGTGTTAGTATGCGAAGCCATGCTTTGAAGTGAGGCCGCTTTGACAAAATCCATAGCCTTGAGTGGAATATCAACTGGCAAGTGAAGACCTCACTTTATACGCCATACTCATACATACAGCTCGGACGCTTACGAACAGAGACACGTTAAGATAGGCTTTTGAAGTTAGCTTCAAGTCCATTCACCGCTTTCATTAACTAGTGAAGATTCCAACGATCAGTTGTCGTTCACGGAATTTATGGGCGTAGCTTAATAAAAGTCGTTAATCTGGGTCATTACGAACATCAACTTAAGATCGACAAACTGAAAGTTAATTACACACCCGTATAATAATTAGAAGCTGCTACCACTACTATTTCATGCTAAATGAATTTATGATGATGGGGAGGGTGGGGGGGGGGTATAAAAGAAATCTAACGCTGCTGGATGAAGGGACGCGTAAAAAATCTACTTTTCACTCGTTGTCCTTGGAAGTACGGAACTTTCGTTTCCTGATGAATTTTTATAGTGGGAGTTGTATAGGAATATTGAATGATCAAAGGTGGACAAAGTGCTGTGAGACGAACACGAGCACGAACGTAATTAGTCCCACAGTAACAAGCCGGTAAGTCCGAGAAATGCAGAGATTACACTGCCCCAACCAGTTACACGTTATACGACTAATTATCCTCCACTTTCGCTAGTGGCGCCTCGGAAATACGTCCATCTAGAGACATTCGGTTTGACTGGCTGGGAAGCCCAAATGGCTTGAAATGCACATTCGATAACAACTGTATTATAAAAGAATGATTTCTAATAGATAACAGAATTTGTAATTAGGTTTTATAAAGTTAAGGCACAGATATTTAGTGAAATGGTAGTTCGGTGGACTAAAGGGAGCAGGAAAAGTGGTCAAACAACAACAGGCCTTAACCTAAATGGTGGCAGATTCTAATTATTCGAAACACAATTATCATATAAGTGTGAATTGTAAGTGAAAATCTTTTGAGATGAGTAGAACCATATTTTTGTAAGGGCAACTCAAGTAACAATCGTGTGCTTCATCTACGTCCAAGTCCAAGTCGATCTTCAGAAGGAAGGAGGTCCAGTGGTACTTGAAAGTTGGGATTTTCGCAATTGACTGCTGTGGTGGACGACATGCGTTGCGATATTATAGTCGTCGTCTGTATAGTGATTGACAGTCGTAGAAGAAACCCTTGCAGTAGGAGGCGTCTAGTACGGAACAACAGCTAGCTGCAAAAAAGAACGGTAGCAAGCTTGACACAGTCGTCGAAATGCTACCTCAGAAAGGCTCCAACAAGTATAAAAAAAGAGCCCTTTTTGCAGAAAAATTGACATGATACCGTCACAATCGTCACGAGGCGTAATACTGTGTGTCATCGGCCAAAAAAATCCTTAGACACTTCTTTTTCGAAGAGAAAGGCTTTGCAGGCCGGCAAACCTTGGCACAAATATGCCTTCATCTCGAGATCCGACAGACTAGTTCCGAATATTTCTGAAATATTTCACTATTTTGGGCGTTCAGTGTTTTCATTTTAATTTGTGCTAGTGATGTTTGTCCATAGATTAGTACTGGTTGTGATAAGTAAATATATGCTTCCTCTATTTTAGACGGGTCCCAATTAATTGAGATTTTTGTATTTGTCTAAGCATGATTTTTCCACCTTGTCAAGATTCTACTTTACCAAATACACGGCTACAGTGAATTCTACAGGGATTATCCAGCAGAAACCGACGTACTATCACCTATTAGTCACTCCTTCAGGCTAGTTACCCGTTAAAGCAGTTGATCGTGACTATGATTACAGTTATAGTGAATGTTACTAAAGACATCTTTATCATGATGACTTCTACCTTTAGAATCATACAGATAGCGAGAGCTCCAGATATAGACCGACATGTTGAGCCCTCTACGCCATGCAACTATATATAGCAAATATAGAAGTCTCGCAGATGTATTAGTAGTGATTTACTTTATAATGAATACATATGATTATGCTAGGTATGTGTGCACGTGAGATATCCGTCCAGGTACTACCCGGTAGCGCGTTTGCCCATCGGCTAAGATCTGTGCGTTTCAGCAGCACTCCGCGCACATCTTAACTAGAGTGGCCCCGAAGTCACGTTCAACCTCATGGTCGTTTAGGGCCAACGTAATATAGACCTATAATACTTCTACTTGACTGGCGTTTTCTTTTTTGTTGCGCTGTTGACAATGATGTTGTGCTGTTTGTCATAGGAGGTAAGCTTGAATTAAGCTTCTCGGTGATGCTGACTCTTAAAACTAGAAAATATGTTAATAAAGCTTCCAATGAACGAAGGTAAATTCATCTGAATGCTCTAATAAGAATAATATTTATTATTTTAAAAGCATATTATCTCCTTGCTTACCTCAAAAAACGATCATTCGAGTTATTATGTATATTTGGAGGCGTGTGCGATGTATCTGCATCAGCATCTATACAGACTAGCAAGATTGAACTGAAGATGATGCTTGTGTTTGTTGTACGTACGATACTTTGGAATACATTTTAGGACAGACCAAACCTTAACGGTCTCGCGATATCAACCCTTTACTTGGACGAACTAACTGAGGAACGTACCATGGACAACGTTTACGAAGAAGCTCTTTATTCCATCATGCATCGCATCGGAAGAACTGAGCACAGGTTATCTGAGTACAATAGCATCTGCTTAATTAGGACTTTATTTGAAAAAAAAACATAACATTTATTTTAGGCTTCAGGAAGGCTATATAGTGCTAGGATTTTACGGTAGAAAAAAAACTTTCTGACTTTTCAGTCAGAACAGTGACAAGCAGTCAGTAGTGTTGTATACCCATAACAAGAATTTCTGTTTGGATTGATACGCTGCCTAATTTGGTACCTTTATCACAGTTACGTTAGAAAAATCTGCTTTTTTGCAAAGTAAACCTAAACATTTTAGGAAAATGGTTACAGTAAATTCTGTTTGGTACCATATTGAAATACTATTGGGGCAGTTATGTATACTTGTTTTAGGGAACTTAGGGCGCGTTAGAGTCTAACAAGTTATCACGACAACAAAGCGGTCAGCTCCTTAGTGGGTGTTTGATTATAAACTGACCGTAAAGGGGCACCGAAGATACATCGACATACACTTACCATTTTAGCTTAAAAAAAAGGTTGCCCCAAACGAGCACCACCAGTCTATAAGAACATGCCAGTTCGTCTCGGTATTTCAGGAAGGAGGATTTGTACTTCTTCCTCAAGGACGCTTTTGCCGTAGACGATGAAAAACACTTTGAACTATTAACTAGTGTCGGACAAGAGAAAAAACCGCAAAGCTGTATTGACGTACTCATCGAGCGAGCTGAAAACCTGATTGCCAAGGATCTAAATGGTTAGTTTTGGTTTTTGGTATCTGTTTACCTTGTTTATCCAGTGGTGCTTTTGATGAAGACCGGTACAATGCATATAAACAGTATGGAAAAAATAAACATGATCATATTATATAAGTATGTATTGTGAAATTAGATGCGTGAATACACGCTAAATAAAATAGACCTATGATTAGCTCTGCAAATTTATCGCTATCTGGTGGGCCTTTTATTTTTTATGCCGTTATACTGTCACCTCTGCGTTTCTGTAGTACCCTATGAAACGCGAACTGATCGTAGCTGTTATCTGTGGTTGTACTATGATGATAGTACTACACTGTTTAGTGCACCGACAAAGGTAATCCAAGGCATTCACTCGTCAATCGTTTAATAGCACCAGGTATAGGTAGCAGAAACGTCCCCTGCATAAATTCTATCTATTTTTATTAACATAATCGATTGATTAAATATGTCCTAGTGATTCTCCAGTGATCCGATTTGTCTATATATATGTTGTTGTTTAGCCTTCTAACAGTTACTGTATAGATACTAATTTTTTAACCGCAATGTTCATGAATAGAAAACAGAATACCGTCTGGAGGGTAGGTGTTGTCTAAACACGGCAGACGACCAGAGTACTTTAGGATCGAACATCTATTCTTCAATTAAGAATGAATAACACTCAATGGAAATATTCCCCGTGAATGGCCACTGGAAACAATACACAAACAAATTTAACTAATGCTAATTTATCTAAACAGGACTTAGTGATCCGTACTGCATGTTGGGAGTGCAGCTTGGAGGGGGCGAATATACCGGCTCGTGCGATTCAAATAACATTCTAGCGAAGCAGGTAGTAACTACGACGGTGCAAAAAGCTACCCTTAACCCCGTTTGGCAGGAGAAATTTACAATGTAAGTCATATATATAAAATCAATTCGTAGATTTATATCGATGACGTACAGCTTCAACCATATTATTTTGTCTATTAAGACGCATTGCGAGTTAGTTTGCTTCACCAAAATCCCTTTTACTTGCTAACTATCGTGTAGCACAACTTCGAAGACCCAGTCAAATGTAAGTCACTTTTTAAATAAACCGCCACTTTATGCTTTCTTAAGATAACTCCTTTCCGGTTCTCCATATATTTCATTTTTTTTTTCTCATTCAAATTATACGCTATCACGATTGTTACGCTAGTATGATTCATGGCGGGTAAAGTTAATCAGACCAATTGGTGATCTTTTATTCAGCAAACCTTGACTGCAGAATTTACCTTTGTCTGATAAAAACTTAGGAATACTAGGCGTGTCCATAATGCCGCTCGTAAGCAATACCCAATGATGATTTGTTGACTTTGAGCTGTGGCATGCTCTCATCGTACACACAGTAAACAATAACATTTTCGCCTTAGATAATACCCACTTCCTTTTATCTGTGCAGTCTTTCAACTCTTTTTGACCTTTCAACGTTTTGGACCTAACCGCTCGACTATATGCGGTCTTAGCTAATGAAATTTGCTCCAATATGGGGCCAATACGGTGCTTCGTAGTGGAGATGCTTATGCCTACTAACTACCTAATTAAAACCGTATGGGTATTGTATTAATAAACATTTGAAAGGGGGAAGTTGAATGGGCCTTTGGTTTGTTACAAATGATTTGTTGATATCTGAAAATCTGCTTAGATAATTCTCAAAGAAAACAAAGGAGTGTTATAAAAGCGAAAACACGAACGTACATTTTAAGTAGAGGTGTTTCGTGCTTGAAGAAAAGTGGGCTAACACCTGAAGCATTTTTTTTTTAACCGTGAACCTATTAATTTCTACCCTGTAAGCTTATTCCTTTTTAACAGTAAATCAATACTGAAAGCCTGCTTAGTTCTTGAAAGACATGTGTCTATTTGTCGTGAGCGTTGAAGCTTCTGAGAGCCAAGCAACCAATTTCAAATGCATTATGAGTAGAGAATATAATAGCATTCTGGCTGATCAACTTGAGCCATAAAGTTAAAATAGTATTTCTCGTCATTTTGAAATGAGCCTATAGAAATGACTATAAAATTTACTATCATGTATCTCTGAGCTTTTCGCTCTGACATAAGCCTGAAATGCTCATTTGTTAGTTCTTGTTATTGCTCTACGGAAAACAACAGCGCACAAATGGAGAGCAGGACTATGGCGATTGAACATTATAAAAAAAAAAAAAAAAAAAAAGTTAAACCCATGTTTAACAGTTTTTTAAGATTGAATAATAATGCTGTACGCTTTTGTTGATTTTAAAGTCTATAGTGAAACCTTTAAGGTGGACCACATACCTCCTCTTGAATAGAATATAAGATAAAATGGCAAACTTATTAACTTAAGACTAATTACATCAATAATATGTGTTTGCTTTAACAGTTGTTAACTAAACAAGTTAACAATATAGGTTAATAACAATATAGGAACCAGTGTTTAAACTTGGTATCTTTAAATACCGGACTATCTCCAAGTCATTCAGCTAAAACAAAAGTAATACCATATTTGGTCTTACTCATATCCAAAAAAGATTATATAGTATAGTATTTCTTCGCTTCATCGGTTGAATTATAAGTTCCGTACAACTTCTTGTACTATGATAGCTTATTTTTTTTCAGTTTCAATTTTTTCGTTAACAGTAGGTCACGCTTCCTGGAAATAAAATATAGTAAGGGTGGGCCTGAGTAATTGAACCTATATGCGTTTACAGTATAAATTAACAACAGTTATATGTCTTGCAGGGATGTGGATGACGTGCTTTCGGATTTGTTTCACCTTGATATTTGGTAAATATGAAATCATCAAATCGTTCTATAAAATAGGTCTTTTTGTTATAAGTCCAACTAGATTATTTCATAAATGTGGTTATTTTTATGCTATGTTATACTGCTAATTACAATACAGCTGTTTTGTTTAATTCTGTTCAGAAAAAAAGAAAAAAAAAACAGTTTTATCATTCACATGGATAATAGTTGAAATTTTTCGAATTATAAAGGGACGAAGACGCAGAAAAAGGCAATATTGTGACATCTGCATCGAAGGTTATAGAGGTCTCGTCAATAAAAGGCCTAGGCCGTTTCTTCAAACAAATAGCCCAGTCTACGAAAGGAAGCGATGCTCAAGACGACTTCCTTGGCTGCGTTACAATACCGCTAAGGGTACGGTTATGACTTTCTACACATTAAGTAAAGAAACACATGGCTTGCTGAAACTGGGATTTTTTGCAATGCACTGTTTCTCAGTCTATATGTGAAATGAATTTTTTTTATGTCATTGTTAGCGGTTATATTTATTTAATGTAAACACTATTCATAGCCAATACTACTTAAATTCAGGGCTTAAGCCCTTGTCAGGCTCGTCTGGAATACTTTGCAGTTTTGCCAATTCCGTCTTGATAGCATAAATGAGGCAATCGACGCTAACACGCCAAGATGACTCTTTAGATTCTCGCCTAAAAACGCCCCCATACGTAATATGGTCTTCAGATCTGGCATATTCCTGCAAACGGCCGGCTTTCAGCACGAAACAGAGTAAATAGGTCCATTTTTGAATCAGTACGGCTCGAGCGTGTCGCTATGTTTAGTTCGCAAATACGTTATCGCTATACTGTCATGGAAAATCATGTTGAAACATGTAGTTCTATTCAAACAACCAACCCGGCATTAAGCGACTAGTAAAAAGCCCCCTTTTTTACCTTTCATTTATCCCTGGTCGCAAATGCCTTGTGGAATGCGCAAGTAAACCTCGTTGGTGATACCCGGAATAGGTATGATGCTATGACGTCTCCTTCACTGGCCTCTACACGCTAAGCATGAACATTAGCCGGTAAATTGCTTTGAAACTTGTTAGGCGCTTCCTTTGTATCGTGAGTAAGCCAACGATCATTATCGCGATTTATTCTTGCATTAATATAGATAGAAAGAACCAACGATGGCCTGTTTGTTGTAAGAGAATCGAGCAGCAAACGACACTGACTAAATGTCGTAGTCTTGGCGTTCTCAGAAAGCATTTGTTCGATTTCTGTGGCATGTTACGTGTATCTGAGGTCTTCGTGAATAATTTATGTCATCATAGCTTCACTCACATTATATCTGTTCGTTAACGACCTGGAAAGGGCCGATTTATTTGCCATATATATTTCAACAAGGTGATGACCTGGCTACAGGAGTCGTCCAAAGTGGGAAAGATTGCTCAAAATCGACCGACTTCCAAATTGCAGGAATGACGCGCTGCCTTATCACAAACTGACGGGCACCCGAAATTAGATGGGTTACCCGATATAAACGATAGAAATAAATAGATAGTCATTTTAAAGTCTACACCAATATGAAATAACGGGACTACCTGTATGCTAAAGACGTTGTGTGTTCTAAGCATCAAATGATACAATTATTTTTTGGATTAGCTTACTGTAGCATAGAACCTGCCGCCAGCATCCGGTGAACAGCATATAATAGGATGTTTACAACCTATTGTTAGGTTGTGATCAAATATTGAGGTACTTATAATTCAGTCTTCTGCTTTCCTAAATACGTATTTTATTAACGAACTCCAATATCTTTGAAATCAGTGACCATCTTTCTTGCACTCTAATTGCAGGATATTCCGGGTGGTGGCACGAGCGGCTGGTTCGATTTGACGTCACGTTTTAGCAAAAGCGCGTCCGTGCGTGGCCGGGTAAAACTCGGTCTTGCATTTCGATGCCGACAAAGACGAGGCAAAGCAATTACCAATGTATGTATATTAAATCATATTCTATTTTTGTTTAATTTACTATGAATATGCCCAATGTGTACAGTCGATCCGCGATGACTGTCGAGAGAGGAAGACTCTCTGTTAACTGTGTAGGACTATAGCTCAGGTGCTATGATACTACATCGCCTAGTCATTATTTGATGGGTTTTTTTTTTATCGTTTTACTCCTACGAAGGACAGACTCTCTCCCATCGTTGCGTACACATTAGTTGTGAAATTTTCGCACGTATTATCGATGATTCGTTCCCCATGCTCCACATTGATTAACAGAGACGAAATCATTCAACGCTCTAAAAAATGCTGCAAGAAAAGTATTTTTACTAATATTGAATGATAATAGCGCAGTGGATAAGCTATGTGCATCAACCTGTCCAGTGGTATGAGATACTGTTCGCTAGAGAAAAGTATTATTTCGATATATATTGTAGGAATATGATACGGAGGATTCGGTCGACTTGTATGAGACCCTACTTGCCGTATTTTCGGAACATCAGCTTCGACATACAGAGGTGAGCCTCTCATAGATATCCGATATATGTAACTGAAAAACAAATAAAGGAAAAAAGCGCTGCGCTAATATCTGCGACCATTCAACAAGGGCATCTAGTCTTGCACAGAATACAAATAATTGACCGGCCCTTGAAAGATGGCGACTAGTTTTAAAGAATATGCCCTTACTTGCAGTCATCTTCAAGCTGGTCTGGATTTATCCCCGTCCAAGCGACGACTATCCTGGACCAGTTCGCTATACAACGCAATGTATCTACGTTACAAAAAGCCCTTTCGAAATGGGTTGTATTCTGCAGGCAAGTATATACATAAGTTCTCAATACCTGATTATCGATTCGCAATAATAGTAAATAAATACTGCAGCCTCTGGTTGTTAAATGCAATATTTAGAGTAGCGCGCTGCCTCGTGGCTGCGAAGTTCCCTTTAAAAAGATGTATGTAATGAACTGCTATTGCATCACGTTATGTTGGTGTAGGTCGGAGTCATAGTCCTAAAGATGATACCCTTTTCAATATGTATTAGTCCTATCCTTACCGCTAGGTCGCAAAGCACCGTGGCCTAAACAACTGTCTATTACAACATGACCGAATGACCCTTCTTTAAAATTTAACAGATTTAAAGTGTCATCTGTAGAGAACGTCCAGTTACGAATCGCATCAAAATATGCGGCACTTAAAAAAAAATTCGTTATTTTATGTTTGGGGTACAGACTCCATTTACCGTTGTGCTGTTACTACTAAAATTTATTTAAAAAAAAAATAACGTGTGTACTTTCTCCTTTCGGAACACGATTATTGTTTCCTTATTGTAGGCCGATTGTTGTTTATGAAGCTGGTTTTCGGCTATAAATACGATAGGTTTTTTTTTTTATTATTTCATAGTTCGACCCTTTGCTCCCGTGAAGTGGTCTTTAATTTTTCACGATATTTGTTATAGAATATCAGCAGACATTTTTTACAATACAATACGATGATAATAGAGCTTAAACCATTTTTCTCAGCATATTGTTGAGAACATACGCTCAGCCTTAGGTGTTAAATATTTAGCCTTACCATTAGTATTATGTGATAGTTCTGGAATATTTAGAACCTAATAATGCCTTAACCTAAGGGGATGCGGCACCTCATTTTAATAACACGGCGATTTATGTAGCGTTACTTTATTCCAGGATCAACAGAGAACGCCAGCTCAACTTTTTGCTTCTAGAAGAAGTTCTGCAAGAATTGAACTCGCGGTGGCTTTATGCATCCAGCTGCACACCTCAACAGGTAAGCTTACATACAGAACCTTTGTCTAACTTTCTGGGTTATGGCAGCTCACAAAGCAGCCCAATCAATTTGTGTTGGAAGTATTTCTTGGACAAACAACATGTCGACAAAAGTGAACAACTATGTTCTACACTGCCGCCTTTCTGGCAGCGGTAGTGATTAACCAGTTAGAACATCCTCCTAACTTAGCTCCAGTTCCGTCGAGCCGAATGAGTCTATATAGAAATTCTAGGGTCTAATCAATTTCTCTCTATTAAACTCCTATATAGTGGACACTATAGGGCATTGAATTTTTTACGAAGCTCCTATGATTCTGCTCTTTTTGATAATGAGGAACCTCACAAATACTACGTTCATCAATATCGTTTTAATTAACAAGCGGTTTTGCGGGTTCGCTTCACTAGACGTACTTGAACATACATTTTACGTACGATACGAAAGATGTTGATATATTATTGTTAATTCTCAGGAGTCGAGTTTATTTGCGTCATTCAAGGAGTTCACTGAATATTGCCTGCGTCTTTTGGCTAAACATCGCGAAGTCTGGCCGCAGGGCACTGTTCGGGGACAAACGGGAATGAATTATATGCTCGAGTAAGTGTGGTTCGTCAAACATCTCTATGCTGATGCCATGGTCTACTAAACAAATCCCTTTGAACAGTGAAGGTCTTCAACGGGCCTATGAAGTTCATACCTTTATAAACTCGGAAATTGCTAAAGCTATAAAAGCTGAGTCGCGCTACCTGGGTTGAGCATCATTCTTTGCTAATATTTGAATTCAGTGAGGTTTCATTTTGTAATCAGTCTGAACTGCTACGAATTGAAGCTGTACACTACATTTTCCCTCCGTAATAGTAATGTTATTTGCGCTTATTTTACATTAAAAAAATTACATTCGCAAACGCGTGCACTTTACCGGTAAAAGAAAACAACAAAAATAACGTTTAATCTCATCCTAACTAGGTGCCTAGGGATCATCAGACGAATGTCTGCTCTTCAACTTGCTACCGATTCTATATCCAGTTCGCTGAACAGAGCAAATGATCAGCACACACCAAGCGAAATGACAAACCTTTCGGAACAGATTGAGAAGGCCCTTGGGGTACGTTTGCTTTTTAATGGTTTCATAGTTGTCTACAAGTACAAGAACCTATAGGTAGCTTGCAATAAAACTATAGGAAATAACTTGCAATACAGAAGGTAATATAAAGTATGTAACCATTTCCATGAAATGTTCTCACGATTATCAATATTCAGAGCACGACACTACGTCATCAATACCATAACACAGAGAAAAATTTTTATTAAGACTATTTGTTTAATTGGCTGGCTGTCCTTATACCAGTTCGACTGTATAATGCCAAGCAAGAAGAAGTTCCAAACACTCTCTAGTGCAGGGCTTAGGAGTAATTATCATAGTCTTCAAGCCAGGCAATCCGCTTAAATGTGATAGTTTGCATTAATTTTAATAAGAAATCGTTATTACCACAGATGATGATTCACATCCTTGTAAACACGTCACCCATGTTGGTTCTAAGCCTTTGGGTGATTCTGCCAACAAATCTCAAACATCAATCTGTTACTTTTAATATATCGTTTTATCCGTAAGACCGTTTGGCTGTATAAACGAGTTCTTCTTAACAAAAATCGTCTGCTACAAACAGTAGAACTCGGGTGATGTAGTCCACGTCATGAAAACCTGTTGTTGCATAAATTGTTGTCGAAGTTGTATAACACCTTGGCAAGCGATAGACGGCATGGAATACGTATGTAGCAGGGTTTTATTTGATGTAATGACTCTGATGATTTCGGACGACATTGGTGATGATTATGACTCAACCGATCATAATGTTGTCTGTGTCAAATGAAAAAGAATAGAGATAACAACACTGATGCTACCCCTTGGAAATTAGGCGATCCTTACAATTTATCGTAGTTTCAGGCTTTTTTTTTTTTTTTTTTTTTGGAAAACCTGTCTACAATAATTGGCACGCGTACCCTAATAAACTTAACCGCTATAACTTAGTCTCCTTTCCAAATTAAATAAATTAGTTATATATATATATATATATATATATATATATATATATAATTAGTGTAAATAGAAAATAGCATTCATTATACTTCGATGTGATCTTTTTTTAATTGACACACGTTTGCGATCCGCCTACCGGTGAAGCAGGATGGAACGGAATCGTGGGTGCGCGCCTTAGTAGCGAATCACCAACCCATGGTGCAAAACGATAATGACTCTCTCATCCAAGGATTCGTTGATGTCCTCGCTGAAATAGCACAGGATCTTCGTCTTGGTGATAAATATTACAACGATCAATTTATCAGGTAGTTTACAGTGATTGTTTGTTATAGAGTACCGTTGGGATATTATTACAAGGCGCGAATTCAGTCTAATTATATCAGAAGTGTCTTTTGCTCCAAAGAAGTGTCGACTCTCTTACATAGAAATTCAGTCCAGCTTCGGCCTATCAGCTGTGCTTCACATTTCGTAAAGCTAAAAGTATATTCGGATTTATTACTTTCATACCTTTTCAGCGATGTCGAAGTGCCATATACGAGAGTCATCTATAAACATTTTGAACTTGCGGTAAGGAACAGCCTGATATTTTGCGCTTTGAAGTACCTTATAGCTACTGATATAAAGCATACGTACCTAAAAATAATTTTACAAGAAGTTTTTGTACGAGAAAACGCTATCCCTGTGCCGCTCTGCCACACTAGCGCCGACAGTCGTGGTCATACCATCCCTGCCAGATACTTCTCGTAATAATAACTCATTGGTGGATTTTATCAGTGACGTTGTAAACCGGATGAGAAAATCTGTCAGAGTGAGTGTTTTATCCCTTGATGTCGCAAAGGGCCCATGACGATAAGTAGTATAACTTGATTGCACAGCAATAGAAACGATACGCTGTTTTTCGGAAGTTTCAACACGCGTTTTAATGCCGCACATCTATTTATATTCACTAGTTACCTGACTTGAACGTCCGACTAAAACAGCGGCGTGGCGCGGGTTATAATGGTGCGCATCTCTGGCTGCGTTTCATAATAATCGTAACTAACTTCCTTCTACGCTAATCTCAGCATCGGCAAAAAATACCGCCAAATTTAAATGAAGGAAGGTATCAAGGAATAAATTTAAAAAAAACAATAGTTGCTTGTCTGGTTGCCATGCCGTTTAATAGATCTCCTGAAGACGCCTCAGATGATTCCAGCAATACCCAGCCTGGTTTGGCTTTTAGTCGGCGTAAATCCTTAACGCTGTGCCTAAACATGATTCCAGGAGTTTGCCTCCGGAGGAGAGTAGCTTGGAGCGCTGAAAAAAATAACTAATTAAATTTTGACGTTTTGTCAATTTCAGCTAGAAGAACAGTTGTCAGCAGAGATCGAGCAGGTAGTTCAGCGAATGGATGCCGACAAAGCATGGGCCATACACGGTCCTGATCCTGAAAGAGCCCAGGACCGCAGTATGCGAGCAGGCACCAAGCTTTACGAGCTATATGTCGCCCTACAAGAGGTGGTCAATTTCAAAAGAAACGTCGACAATTACAAGTTAGTATAACATGAATTTGCTGAACATTAGGTGCCCAATTCTTGGCCACGTTGTGGGAAAATGATGACTTAGCTTAGCTAGCACCGGCAAATAGGTACAAACTAAAAAGTAGGATTAAACATACTAGGTAATAGAGCATACTAAAAAAACATACTACGTATGCCCACCTCCTTCGAAAGTGAAAACTCACAACACTTCTGGCTTTTGCTCAATTTGTCTGATCTTAAAAAGGCCCGCCCGGTCAAACTTAAGGCTTCACTGCTTTCACGAGTGGTTTGCCGATACTGTTCAGAACTGGTTCCTCATGGCAAAAATGAAATCAAAAAATATCATCACCAACGCCTTTGATGTCGACGTACAGAAAAACAACCTGAAACCGCTTGATAAGGCAAGAGACATTTTGTGCACGTACTATTCTAAACTCATGATACATACTTGCGTCTTTTGCGCCTTTTTTCATGTACAGTAAAGTAGATGATTTAGCGATATTGGTTCAACTGAACGCACGCGATGCAAACACGTTAACAAAAAACCACATTGAAATAGGCGTGTCTCACAACATTCATCCTTTTGTATTGTGTCGATGTGAGTTCTTTGTAGGTTAAATATAGCTCGTCGGCAGTTGACACATCCGGGTGTATCAAGCAAATAAAGAACTTCTGGCGGGAGCTTGACTGGCCTGATAAGGCAGCCTCCTATCCGCTGATCGTCCGAATTCTGGAAGCAATTTGTGAATGTACGCTTCACTATGCCGCTTTGTGCCATAGCAAACTCGATGAAGAAGGATACTTCGATGTTGAAGGACAATTTGATGTCGCACATGAGGTACTGACTTGTTGTTTTGAAAGGTGCACCATTTTTAAATACTACTATGGAATGTCCTATAACCTCGTTAGTTAGACAGAGACCTACACTGAGCCTCTAGGTACTCAGACGATCAATTTCAAGTTGACAACTCAATAGTGGAACAATTTTGTTTCCCTTTGTTACGTCGCACTGTCCTAAATTCATCGTGTCCTTTTTAACGATATCTCAGAAAGGTATCTGGTGAATCGAAATCGAACTCATGCGGCGCGTTCCCTCGGGTTCATAAACGATTTGAAAGTGTATTAATTAATAGGAGCTATTGTCGTTATGAAGGCTGTGACATTTCCAGCATGCAGCATGCAGCATGCGCGAGTGATGATGGCATTCTGAAAATCAGATACGAATGTATATGGTTTTAATTTTGATTAATTGTTTCTTTTAGGTGTGCGTCATTTTATCAAACATCGAATTTGTGCGCAAGTTCATTCTCACTCTTAGCAAGGATCTGCAGGTTAGGCCTATGCGAAGATAGTTACTCACTCATACGGAACATTTAAATCGAATCACTACAGATGCAATAGTAGATACCCTAGAGTTTATTAAAACAGTATATCAGTACTTTAGTCGACAGATATATTCGGCACTCAGTAAATGAAGAGAAAGTTAGGCTAAATCATAAATCCTATTTGTCTCAGGATCTGAACTCAAGTTTAAGTGGACTTTCGGGGGATAGACGGTAGGTGGACGACTTTATCGAGCTAGCAACTTTTAATCACCGACCCAGTTCGGATACAATGTGTAATTTATTTTTGCCATTCGGCTGTACAGGTAGCAGATGTGCTAGATGCGATTTCAGCATCTGAAGGTGAAGGAACAGCCGTAATGTGTCGTACTGCTATTGAAGCGATGATCGACTCGACGGACGAAGACGTCGTCAATAAAATGCTCAACATCATTAAAGGACTCGGCGAGAAGGTGAAGACTACACTTCATTTTAGACATTTAGGCAATTTTCGACAATATAAACCAACTGTTGAATAATCGATATTCGAATAACAAGTATAAACTTTTTTTTTTTTTTTTTTGTTCAATATGAGCTCTTGACTAGAATAACGGAAAGTTATGTACATTTACTGACCGAAGCTAGGATTTGGATATAGCTAAATTAAGTTATTGCATGTTACATAATTCTCGTTTCCGTTGGGTTGATAATTATGGTGAGATTTTTCAAAAATAGCTGTTTTATAAAGTTGTCCGTCAAATTCGCAGCTTTACCTATTTGAGCCCAAAAAAATTGACTGCTATTTAGTGATCTCCTATCATATGAATTTCTGGGCGTTTGTTTCATAGATAGCTTCAAGCGATCGCATCGGTTATAAACGGCTTTATAAGATGCAAAATGGTCCGTATAACATTTTCAATCGCAAAGATGTTTCTTAGTCACGAGAAATTTAACTACAACACTTATAATAGCAGTCTGTGTCTCAGGTGGACTTGTTTGGACATGAGACATCTAGCTGACCAACTTCTTGTTAATACCTACGGTAAATCTGTTTCCTGGTAACTTCGCTGTTTAGAGGTGGCGAGTACAGCGAATACTTACGATTAGATACGAATAGTAACAAAATTCAAAACTATGATACAACATAAAATTGAGCCTAATTATAATATTTAAGCCTCGTTAAAGCTCACTAGAATTCTTTGCGTTCTGCTGGAACTGTCCGGACGTAGCCGTAATCGATCGGATTCCGTCGAGTCCAGTCGATCGATGCGTTAGCTCACTGGTGATACACATATTTTAAACCAAAAATAAGTCAAGAACTGGCTCTCTCAATAGATTCGCGAAAACGAGAGGATGCCTTTCCGTCAGGAAATTCAATTTCTGCCAATAAAAAATGATAATACTAAATGTTTATACTTCCTACTTTTAAAATAAGTGCTAAAAGATAATGAAATAAATGGCGTATAGCTTCCTCGAAATATCGATTGAAGTCTAAAGGCGACTTGTTCAACTGATAATGTGAAATCGATAAATGTTGCGGTATCCCTGAGCTGCCGCTGGGTGTCGGCAGGCTATTTGAAGGCTTCAGGATGTTTCTAGGTTGCCAACACTGTCGTTGCCAATTGCATTGGCTGCAGCGTGGCCTGACACGCCGTAACTGATCACGCTTATTACTGACCAATATGTACACCTGTTCGGTACACCAGATCAGGCAGCTTTCTGTACAGCTCGGACGCTGTATTTCAACATCGCCCAATATAAGCACAAAAATTCTTTAAGTTCTAATTTTCAATATCATCTGCACTTGTCTTCGTTCGAATCTCGCCTACGTCCAAGATATCCTACCAAAGTCGTAGTAGATAAAATGTTACAATTCAAATATACGAATAAATACCCGTCTAGGGCTAGATAAACATAACAAGCGAACGTAGAACATTTGTCCTTGTTGAATAACTACAAGGCGTAGCCACAATATATGTGTGTATGTATATATATATATGTATAT